GGCTACCTTCCTTTCATAGAGAACATAGGTTCAATTTCCTCAGTCCCAAAAGAGGATGTGGACACTCCTTGGACCTGGCCTGAGTGGCCTAACCAACCTCCAGCTCAGCTGCCTGCCAGGCCTCTCTGCAAGGGCCCTAGGGCACCATTGTCATCACCATTGTCCCTCTCTGCAAGGGCCCTAGGGCACCATTGTCATCACCATTGTCCCTCTCTGCAAGGGCCCTAGGGCACCATTGTCATCACCATTGTCCCTCTCTGCAAGGGCCTAGGGCACCATTGTCATCACCATTGTCATCACCATTGTCCCTCTCTGCAAGGGCCCTAGGGCACCATTGTCATCACCATTGTCCCTCTCTGCAAGGGCCTAGGGCACCATTGTCATCACCATTGTCCCCCTCTGGGAGGGCGCTAGGCACCATTGTCATATCCTTGGGAGGGCAGAGGAGGCTGCCTAGGCCCTGTGTGATCCCGTGGCCTCAGCAAGCCTCACTGGATTAGGCCTGGTGGCCCTCTCTCTGGTTCTGCCAGTAACTTTGAACATGACTCTGTGCAAAATGGTTGAAAGGACCAGGGAGAAAAAACACTTAAGGAGAGGCCAGACTTGTTCCAGGTGGCTTCAAGGAGCACCAGGCCCTTTTCTCACGGATCCCCAGCTTAGATGCCTGTGAATCAGGCCATGATGGGCCGACCTCCTGAGGCTGTCATCAGGGTGAATCCGTCAGTACCTGTAACTGTATTGAGAGCCCTGCCCGGCCCAGTAAATAATTAATGCAATTCTTGCCACGGGGGCTCTTACGGAAAGGTAGGCTCTCCATGTCTTACCTGGGGACCTGGCGGTGTCAGACGAGCTGGCTGACTGTTGTCACCAGTGTGTTTCCTGCTCTTCAGTCGGTTTGGTGAATATGACAGAAGGTAATACAAAACGCATACATGCAGTAAGACTGTTTCATAATTTTCATTTCACATGTGCGTACTTGTACACGTGTGTGTTCACCCCACAGTGAAATGCACAGCCCTCTGTCAGGCAGGGCCAGGAGAGTGTGAGAAGTACATGAACTGTGGCAGGAACCAGACAGTAGATGGGGTTGGGCTTCATTCACCTTGAAAGGCTCTTTCATACCTTGAGATTTTGTGAGTGCTTCTTTGCCAAGGGGGAAAGCCTTTGTTTCTGAAGGACTCTTGTTTTCCCATCTGAATGGGGTTAGAGAGTGGAGGGCAAAAGGGACGGCCCCCATTCCATCCAGGTCTCACACTGAGCCGCTTCTGGTTCTGTAAGCACAGTGGCCTGGAGGAAAGTCCTCCCACCCCCTAGACACCTCTAAGCGGCCCTCTCTGTGTTTCTCTCCTACTTTCCTCTTCTTTTTCCTGCCTCAGAGAAGGTTGCCTTCCCAGACTACCAGTCTCCAAAAAGAACAGAAGGAGGCCTGTTTTCCCTATAGCACACCTTGGGCTGGCGTGGGCATGGAGGTTCCCAAGGTGGTGAAGCGACTGCAGCAGGATTCTCCTAAGTGGGCTTCTGACAGGTTCCCTGCCTGCAGTGGTAGAGGTTTCCTTGGCCTCTTATGGGCCAACAGGCAGAGGGTAGTAGGAAGGTGGGTTCTTAGCAGGCCATATCCCTGGAAAGAGGTCCAAGTCTTGTGCCCTCCTGCTTGGTCACCTCATGCTTAAACCATCTTCAGTCCTCTAGCAGCTCTGCCATCTTAGCTGGAGTTCTCCAGGTGGCTGGAGGGCTGTCGGTGATATTGCGGGGCAACCATTGGACCCGTAACTTGGCAATTTAGCAGAGGTGGATGACCTGCAAACAGCCATCTCTTTTTTGGGGAAATGAAATGAGCAAAAGTAGGTGATGCACTGCCTCATAGGAGCCTGGATTCCTAACTCTGGAGGTGCAGAATTAGGGCAGGGAGATTGTTAGACAGAGCTGGCTTCTCTGCTGGCAGCGTTGGGGCTGAAGGGTTTCCTCTCGCCGGATTTGGGTTACAGCCTAGATATTTGTCCTTGCTCTCACAGCACAAGGTCTGGGTGTAGCTAGGACTTGGATTGTGAAGGAGCAGTTCTCTCTCCTCAGAGTGCTGAGAATGCAGATTGGTGCGGCCCACTCCTGGACAGAGATGGGGAGAGCCAGGCGTAGGCCTGGGGTTATCTGGAGCTGGTTGGTGGACGCGGCCCCAGCTCTGTGAGTGCGGGAGGCACAGGAGTGTGGAGCAGTGAAGGAGCAAATGTGTAACAGTGTTGCCAGCCTCGGGGTGGCGGGAGGCGGTGGGAGGCTGCAGGGACCAGGGCCTGCGCTCAGTGAGCACACAGGAGAGGCGCCGCGGGCGCTGCTGTGCTCAAGAGGCTGTCTTCGGGCAGTGCCACTGTGTGCCCAAGCCAGCTCCCCTTCTTTTGTGACTGCTGCTTGCTTACTCTCTGTCCCCTTGTCTGCATAGTAATAGGACTAGACAGTACCTGCTTCCTGGTAAGTGATATTTAAGGAGGCCTGAGAGAGGTTGTAATTGTGAGATCCTGACACAGGGAGTAGATACACATTCATTTCCTCAACCCTAGCTTGTTCTTTCTTTGCCTTTTATTGGCACTTCTGGAAGGAGGTAGAGCCCTCATTTGCACACAAAGAAACTGAGGCCAGAGAAGTCTGGCAGTGCAGGTCAGTGACCGAGTCTTGGGACCATGTCTAGCTTCAGGACCGACTGGGAAATCTTGTCTGTAACTGGTGGCCACGTGCTCAGGGAAAACGATTCCTGGCAAGAGGGGATGGTGAACAGTTCGGGAACCTCAAGCCCTGGAACAGTAGTGTTGAAGGAGTGTGGGCCTCCATGGGCCCACTCGGTGGTCCAGAAAGAAGATGTCAGAATTTCTGTTAGTGTCTTACTGTCCCACTTAACTTACTTTGTGGGTCAGAGTTTATAAGTTATTGGTTCCATGGCCCAGATAGATACTTCTCTAGTCCGTGCATCTGTGTCACAGGACATGGTGTGCTGGCAGCCTTGTGAGACCAGAGAACCAGGGGTTGGGGCAGGCCACGCGAGGCTGAAGAGCTCCTCCGCCACCCTTCGCCCGCTCTGGCTTCCTCTGGAAACAAGTCCATTAGCGTGCCGCACTTCACAGCTTGCTCAGGACCCTCTTGACGTTCAGGACCGCCTCAGGGAGCCTGCACTTCTGCCTGGGGGCTGAGCTCTCAGAGGGCAGAGGTCACCACCCTTCATTTGCCCAAAGCGGGCCTGATGCCAGAGAAGGCCTGGAGGTGGAGCCTGCGAAGAGTGAAGGGCTTGAGCTAAAGCAGGGAGGTTGGGAAGGCGGGAAGGCCCTGCAGGCCCTGCTGGATGGTGTGTCCTTGTGGCTGTAGAGCAGCTCTCCTCTGAGCAGGAGTGCCCAGGCCCCAGGTGCAGGTGGGCCTCCTGGTCCAAAAGGCAGGGGGGTGGGCCCCAGGTCACCACCCTTGCCCACTACTCCTGAGGACCCCCCCGCCCCCCAATTTGGTTATAGGACGGCCCACCAAGCTCTTTTGTCCAGCCCCAGGAATGTCTGGGAGAGAGACTGCACGGAAGCTCTATGCTGTGTGGGCTGGCACACTCTCAGCAGAAGGGCTCCTGCCCCTCCTCCTGCCCCCACCTTGGGGTCATTTCTGAGGCAGGGTGTTCTTTGAACACATAGCTGAGGGTAAAAGCTTTTTTCCCACTTGCAGGTGGAGGCCTTCCTGTGAGCTTTATGGCCCATCCTTCTGCTTGTCATCTCTGTGCTGAGCTGGGCCCAGAGATGATGGGCTGAGCCCAGGGCCCCATAGTAAAAGGCTTTTTGGAACTGGGACGCTAACTCCGTCCACCTCCTGTGGACCAGAGACCTGGTGGCTGTGTTGCAGCAAGGGCTCTGGGAACCCAGCACCCCGGTACCAGAGGAGGGAGGTAGTGGGGGAGAAGAGCTCATAGGTCAGCCTGGAAAGTGGCCAGGAAGATCACATGAGCTCAAGTTGGGAGTTCTGGGAATGTCCACCTTCCTGTCGTCAGGCACATGCAGAAGGTTTTCCAGTAGTAGGGAGTGTTTGGCCTGGGCTCAGCAGCCACACTAGACCCAGAGTCCTGATTTTCAGACCAAGCCCCTTCCCTCTGCCCTGGCAACAGGGAGCTCAGAGCTGTAGGAAGGCACACCCAGGGCAGCGACCCCTTGTGTGGCTGCCATCACCTCTCTCTGCTGCTGCTGCTTCAGGGTGGGGCTGCGAGGGCATGGGAGCTCTGCCCCGGAGCCCTCCAGCCCCAGCAACCATCCCGGTTTCTGAGCCTTGGCAACCTGTCTCCTTTTGGGTATGGGGCAAACACATCTTTCGGAAGGTCCTCTTGGTTACACCTTCACCTCAGTAGGAATTTCTTAAAGCCTTGTTTTTGGTTTGCCATCTCTAATTTCAGTGTATAAAAGCTTTGCTGTCAGAAAGGGAAAAGTTCTTACTGGATGTCCAGCGCTGGCCAGGCTGCCTCGCAGCGCTCCTCCTCGGGCAGTCCTGCAGGGAGGTTGTTCATCCGCCTCTGACAGGCGTGGCCTCCAGCCCCACAGCCACCTTCAAGGATGTGGCTTCTCTCTGGCCCCCTCCTTGCCTCTAAAAATAACCTTGCTATTTTGAAACAGCCTCCTCTGGAGCTTTGTCATACTGCTTTCTGGGATAAGTAACCCCTCGAAGACCAGGCTCTTAGTTGCCTCTGCCGTCCCAGCTGTCCTCAGGGAGCAGTCCCCTTCCTGTCTCTTCTGCTTCCCCCATGCTAGCTGGGACATTGTTTTCCAGCGAGGAAGGAATGTCCAGCTGGGTATCCTCTGAGAAGACAGGCCTGTCACCCACCTTCCTGTGGGGGGTGGGGCAGGTAGGAAGTGAGCACACCCTGTGCTTGTTGAAATTGAGGGGTCCATGCAGGTGCCTATTGTGAAGCCACAGGGTCAGGAAGGGCTTGGGGACATGGGGATGGTCCCTGCTGCCCCCATGCCTCTTCTGAGTGCCTCTGCCTTGTCTTCTTGCAGCCTACAACCCTCCCTCAGGGCACCATCAACATGAACCAGTGCACAGACGTGGTGGACGGAGAGGGCCGGACAGGCCAGAAGTTCTCCCTGTGCATTCTGACCCCTGAGAAGGAGCACTTCATCCGGGCAGAGACCAAGGAGATTATCAGCGGGTGAGTCTGCTCCTTGCATTGTGGGAGTTGGTGCTCCCTGCCCACTGCCAGGCTCCTAGACCAGACCCCTGGGCACAGCTGAGCAGCGTGCCACCACTCTCCTCCCCAAAGTGCGTCTGCCCTCCGGAGTGTTTCCTCTTCTTCACAGTGCCACTGTGCCCAGTCACCATCCCAGAACCCGGCTCCCCCGTCCACTGCCTCCACTTCCTCCTGAGTCCACACGTTCACCACGCTACCACCTGAGTCCTGCTTATTCAGAGCCTCCCTCGCTGGCGCTGCCCTGGTTCTGGGGCTGCCGTACCTTCCTTGGCCTCTCACTGGTCCCCTCCTCAGTTCCTGCTGCATTCTTACCTCTGCCACTCGACCACAGGGGCTTAGCCCCCACAGCACTGTAGCATTGCCTCCCACCAAAACCCAGCATCCGGGGGTCAAGTCCAAGTGCCTTGGCTGCCCTGGGGGTTCCTTCTCCCTCCATCTCACTCCCACCCACCTAAGCACTGAGGTGCTTGTCACTGTACATCCCTCAGCAGTTCCACCTGTGCGCCCTGGCTCTCACTCTCTCCGCAGCCTGAGATCACCCCTCGCCTTCTGGGCTGCGAGAGTCACCTGAGCGCTCCCTCGTCCAGGAGCCCTACCCGTGAGGGGTTTGGCTCCATCTGCTGGCTTTTCCCCCAGATGGAGGTTGTCTGACAACGGCTTCCCCTGCCGTGGTAGCCCTGGACAGTGGGGCTGGTGCCCCCCCCGGAGTGCCTCCAGCACTGGCTGCTTTGTCCACGTGGGAAGAACAGAAAGTCTCTGGGTCCTCCCACTCCTCCGAGCACACCTGTGCAGAGGCTTAGGCGAGGCCCTGGGAAGTGGAAGGTGGGCCCGTAGTCCAGAGGGGATGTGTGCTCCTGAGCCCACGCAATGCCTGCCTTCCAGGAGCCCTGCCCTGCTCGTGGGCACCTGCTGCCAGCTCTGAAAGGCCCAGTGGCGTGGTGCCTGCACAGGGAGCACACGTGGCGGGGCTCAGACTCTGGGTCTTGGAGAATCCCACCCATCCTCTAAGGTAGAGAAACACAGGTGAGGCTGAGGAGGCTTTTAGAGGAGTAAATCCAGGATTTAGGGGGACTGGGCCAATGATTGCACAGTAGAGGGGATTAGAATGTGGAGCCCTTTGGTTTCCACCCTGAAAGACTTCTGAGTGGTAGCCCGCCTGGGCCTCAGTGTCTCAGAGGTGGCCTGGCCAAGGCTGCTGCTTGTGGGAGCAAGAGCACGCCCAGTGTTTGCCAAATTCAATCTGCACCGTGGTGGGGGTAGAGCAGAAGGGCCAGGTGGTGCCAGCTGGGGGTGCCAGTTCACCCCAAGTCCTCCTCCCTGGAGAGAGGCAGATTTGCATTTCTACCTCTCAGGGGCAAACAAGAGGACATTGGCTCTGTGGCTCCCTGAGCTTACCCCACCACCGCACAGTTTAAGAGTGCAAGGCTCTGGTAACCAGGGGAGCCTGACTGAGGCCTCCTTCCAGGGATGAGTGACAGCACAGAATGGTTTGTGCTTCCTGCTTCACACTTGCTGTCTTGGTCTTGTCTGCCAAGCACACCTGGGCCAAGGTTCTACTGGCCAACTGGATTCCTTGGGAGACCTAGCCCTCCCCTTGGGAGCTGGGTTCCAGAGATGGGTCTGGGTGACAGTTAGGGTGGGAAAGGGCTGTGGAGGCCCAGGGTAGCTGGGAGTATATGAGCTGGGAGCCAGGTCAGTGTTGCAGTGGTGTGCCGCATGGCGTGGGAATGCCTCTGGCAGGCGGCCAAGCCCTGCTGTCGACACTGGGCACAGGTCAGGGATCCTTGGCTCTGTCCTGAGCCAGTCTCCCTGGTCATTTCTGTCTGTGTGGGGCCTGTCATTTCCATGCAGCTTGGGTACACAGGTAAATTGGGTTCTGAGACCCAACTGCAGCATGGGTGGGGGGGATGTCCCACACCAGCAAACAATTCCTGCCACCAGCAGGGTGTCTGGGAGTCCAGATGTCTTCTGACACACTTGACCTAGGGTAGCATCAGACCCACAGGGTGAGGGCTCAATCCCACAGGACTGCTTTCCCAGCCGTCGCACTCTGACCAACTGTGCAGGTACCCACCACCCTCTGAGTTCAGTGAGTGTGCTAGAATGGCTCAGGGAATTCAGGGAAAGTCACTTACTCACCAAAGTACTTATTTATTACAGAGAGTAGAGGATACAGATCAGCAGCCAGATGAAGAGATTTATAGGGCGAGGTCTCAAATAAAGGGGCTTCTGTCCTGTTGGAGCTTGGGGCCCTGCCTGGAGACTCTCTGAACCTGTCCTTGGGGTTTTTACGAAGACGTAGTTGTGTAGGCCTGTTCTAGAGACTGACTCAATCTCCAGCTCCTCTCCCCTCGGGGGGTGTGAGCCAGAATTTAAGTGGTGATCACATGGTTGGTTTTCCTGACCATCAGCCTCATCTTTGGTGCTTCCAAAAGTCGCCTCATTAACATAACAAAAGGCACCTTGATAGCCTTCACAGGTAGGAAACTCCTAGTGCTTAGGTCCCCAGAGAGGTGCAGGCACTTTCTCCTGGCTGGTGAGGGGAGTTGGATGGCCCCTCCAGCCTTCTTACAGGTCTTCTGTGACAGGGAGCCTCCTGGGTCTTCCCGGGCTGGATGGAGAGGGTTGGCAGTTCTTTCCCAGTTTCCTCATGTTGTGGGGGGGAGGGAGCCTCGAGATGTTTGAGGCACAGCTTTACACAGCTCTTTTAGAGGGCATTTATTTAGGTGGGAGTTAGCCAGGTGTGGGGTGGGAGCGGGCTCCTCGGTGCCCTCCTGCTGGGCTTGGTCGGGACTTGCTCTTCTCACTTATCCTGGCTCTGCCTTTGATGTTGGGAACCACTTATGTCCCTGGTGCCCACATAGACCACAATCCCATGTCCGCATGCACCCCTCACTCCTCTTCCCTGGGTATATTTTAACATCTGTAGCATATCTGGATAATGTTAGACATTTCCTACTGGGCTTCCATGAGAAACCAGAGTGCAGAGGACATATCTCACCATTCATTTCAGGGCCAGGCATCTGTCAGCCTCCAGCCACAGCACCACCGAACAGGGACTGAGGTGCCTAGTCACCTCCACCACCCTCGCTCCATGCTCTGCCCGAGTCTGGCCTTGTTCAGGTCAGCAGGAGCTTCAGAAGCTCCGTGTGGTCGGCAGTACAGGTCTCCCTCCCCTCAAGGCCCCGTCCTATGGGGCATGCAGATCCGCCCAGCTCTGTCATGTTCCAGTTGATAGCAACTGGGCCAGTGTGCAGGGGCTCCGGGCACCTCAAAGGGCCAGCAGCACCTCTCTGCCAGGTTCCCTGCACTCCAGGTGACTTTGGAGCAGTCTGTTCTTCCCTCCTGGGTACAGTGTAAGAGGGGCCTTTCGCAGACACGGTCCTTAGAGTGCCTACAGAACCCTCAGCCCCTGTGGCAGTCTGGAAACAGGTCTTTAACCCACAAGTATGTCAACTCCTCAGGTTACAGGAGTGAGGCCCTTTGACAGCCCGCCTGTCTGCTGGCCTTGCAGTCGCGCCTCCTTTCTGGCTCTGGGGCTCACAGACAGGTGATCTCAGGTCTGTGGCACGGGCAGTTGTTGATTCTCTCAGCAAATCGAGCATTACCTGCTTTGGGCTAAGTTGGGGTGAGGGCAGCCCCTCAACTCAGATGCTGTGATTCCCCACATCCAAGCCCACTTTCCCGGCACCAGCTGCCAACTGCACAACCGGCACACCCTCCTGAGGTTGTCCCAGAAGGCCATTGACTATGCCAGCTTCCCTCCACCCCAAATTAAAGACGTACCGCTGAGTGCTAAGATACCAGCTCTCTCCCTGTCGCACACTTAGGGTGCTGCTGGTAGTCACAGCAGCCTCCAGCTAGGGTGCTGCCCGTGCAGACCCCGCCCCATGTTGCAGCTCAGCTACCATAACCCCATCCTGTCCCAGGCTGACAGCAGACTTAACATGGATCCTCATGCTTGGGAAGAAGTGGACCAGTGTTTCCCGTGGTACCATCCCCTCTGAAGAGAGCATGGGGCCATTCTTCACCACCAGACCCCTCCTGACCTCTGCTCCCCCTGCCCCCTGCTGAAGGGTCCCAGATGCTGCAGAGCTCCACTGAGGCCAGTTGTGGTCGTAGCAGGGCCTAGTCTAGGCCCTGGTGTCAGAGGGGCTGGGAGCTATGCAAGAGGGGGGTTAGAGGGCAGCAGAGCCAGGAGCAGATCTGAGCCCGCTGCCCTCCCTGCGCTCCCCTGCAGCCTTCCCAATGCTGGCTCTGAGTGCACTTTGCAGCATGTGGGCCCTGCTCTTGGTTCCTGGGCAATGTGCCTGGGCAGCTCTGCCAGGCTTCACCAAAGCCTAGGTGCCCAGCACCCTCGCTGTGTAGGTGGGACCCAGAGGTGAGTGGATGGGTCTGAGAGGAGGTCAGCTGCTCAGCCCCTGAAGTGACCTGATGTGGGGAACTTTGATTGCAAGAGTCCTTGTTTCCTGCTTCGAGAACCTTAAATGGCCCCGTCATAACCTGTGTGCTAACTAGATCCCTCTGGAGGGCACCATACTGGGGGTAGTTTATGCAGCCGAGTGCGAGCACTGAAGATGGGGACAGTGACGGAAACAGTGTCCTGTGCTCAGGTCCGTGGTCAGGCCTGCCACTCTGCCACGGCGGAGTGCGTGTCATTCCTGGGCCAGTGGCAGGACCCTCCCCACCTGCTCTGTGGTTATTGCACAGTCACATCCGAGCCTGGTCCCAGCACAGTCAGCTTGTCGTGGGCTGCGCTGCGGGCACTTCCTGCCCTGGCAGTGGCAGGCGCTCATCTGGCTGGTTTTTGGACGGCTCAGCAAGGCAGTGTAAATCCCTGAGAACAGGGGTCTGACCTGCTCTCTTCTTCTATCTCCCCAGGTGGCTAGAGATGCTCATGGTCTATCCCAGGACCAACAAGCAGAACCAGAAGAAGAAGCGGAAAGTGGAGCCTCCCACACCACAGGTAGGTGATGGGCTTGCCAGGCGGCTTCTCTGCAGGGGAGCTGGGGGGAAGTGAGAGCACTCTGGGAAGGGAGAGGGCTTCAGGGCCAGCCTCAGATAGGGGGTGAGGATGGGTCAGGTCAGGGCTGAGGCAGTCATCAGCCCAGCCTGTCTCCTTCTTCCTTCTGATGGTGTGTGGGCTGCAGTCTGCATACCCTTCTCTGAGCCACGGGGCAGGGCCCATGACAGGGCAGGGTGACCTCTTATGTGCTCTGGGGCTTTCCCAGGAGGTTTCCAGCCAGGAGGCAGGTGCTGAGTAGCAGCAACACAGCCTGTGCCCCTTCTCCTGGCAGTCCTGCCTGCTGCTGGGGACCAGAGAGCATGCTGGGAGGGCTCCTTGCTGCACACACGTCCCTCCTGTGACTCGGCTCAGCCCTTTACACAGAGATGACCCTGAAGACAGTAAGCTGGGAGGGGCTGGGCAGAGAGGCGCTGGAGTGTACTGGCCAAGTGAGGGGCTCTCAGGGGACCCTGCTCCTGCTCTGGGCTTTGACCTTAAATGGAAAAAACTGGTGCTAGCCTTGCTTTCTGTGGCCTTGCCACACTCCCATGTGACCGGAGTGGGAGGTGCTGGGGTGGTCCCACCAGGTCTAATCCTTCCCAGAGGCCACTTTCCTCCTTCCCATGACGTCTGCTGGGGCTCGGAGCACCGGACGTGGCCTTGCAACCCCATTTCATGCTGCACATTCCTGGGGCCCTGGCGTGGCAGATCAGCCTTTCTGAGCCTCAGTGAGCTGACTCACGAAACAGATTTGTTGTAGTCTAGTCAGACTGTTGCTGTGAGCATGAAGGGAGTACTGGGCCATTGTGGGCGCTCAGTAAGTTCTTCCTTTCCTCTCTGCTCCAAACTCGACTCTTACCAAGTGCTTGTGCCTTCCTGACTGAGCCCCTGAGAGTGGGCAGATGGAGATTGGATTTCTTGGCACCTTGCAAGGCCCAGAGCCTGGCAAAGAGTCAGCCTGTGGCAGAACCAGGCTGCCCTTAGAGTGGCTGCTCTCTGCTTCACCAAGTGACGAACACTGGCCTTGGCAGGACCAGAAGGTGTGTGCTGGCTGGGGTCCCTTCTTCATCACCCCTCGCCCTGCGGGTTCCCCTGAACATGCATGACTTGGCCTCCTGCCAAAGGAGTCCCAGGCCAGCGTCCCCTGGAAGATAGTGTCTCTGGCAAGAAATGGGCAAGATAGTCAGTCATTCCTGGAAACTGCAGTGGAGCTTTCTGCTGGGGAGCAAGAGCACGCAAACCCCCCGAGGCGGCTGGTTTGAGACTAAGGCAGTCCCAGTAGAGTGAGTGTCCAGGGCTCTGTGCCTTTCCAAGGTGAGCTCCTGTCTCCAAATAAGGCACCTGCGTGTGCAGAAGACACACTAAGCCCACCCGAAGGGATTTGGTTGTGTTGCTCTCCCTAGCTGTCCACTCCCCCGTGATACTCCTCCACCCAAATACTGCTAAGCTTCACCTTTTCAGCTGGTAGCAGCCACGTGATCAGAGAGTGGGGAAGTTACCCACTTACTTTCCTGAGGCTCTCTTAGAGCCTGGGGTTGCTGGGATCCCAGCCTCTTCCACGCAGCCCCTCTTGAGCCCTGGCAGAAACCAACCTGGATGGGTTTCTTCCTCTGCCTCTTGCTTTCCAGAGCATCATGTTGGAGGTCTCTGGAAGCTGTGCACTTCCATCAGGGCCATGCCCCTGTAAGGCAGTCCCACTTGGTGATGCGGGGCCTCTCCAGAGCAGAGGTGGGGGATCTCTAGGCAGACTGAAGCTGAAAGTGGACTGGTGTCCCAGATGGGAGGGTGGGGAAAGCCTAAACCCTTAGGGGCCCTGCAGAAACAAGAACCCAGGACCACAAAGCTAGCCTCTTTCTCCATGTCCCAGGGTAGTCTCAGATCAAACAGCGAGGAGCTAGAGGCATTGCTTTGCTGCACGCTGCCCCTGGCAGCTTAGGCAGAAGAACCCTGGGCGCCCCTTCAAGAAGAGTATCTCAGCCTGGGAGTTGGGGCCATGGAGAGTGCAGGCACCCAGTGGTTAGCTGAGAACATCAGATGAGGATCATGCTGCAGGCCAGGGCGGGGGTCCCAGCAGAGACCAGGGTAGGAGGGGATAGGCTTGCCCTGACCAGAACCTTCGAAGCCTGGGCCCAGGATGCAAAAGCTCCTGAGAAATGCTGCTTTCATGGGTCCTGCTCACTCCCTACTTTTCCTGTCGAAAAATGGAACAGTCATCTTCTCTGGTTATGACCAGGGCAGGAAGGATGGAGCTCTCATTGCCCTCCCCCCAAATTCCAGGGTTGGGAGGCCAGGGGACACGTGTCTCCCCAGCTAGGTGTGTAGGCGGGGGGCTCGCGTTATCTAGTGGAGCTTTGGGGGGCTGGCTCCTCCCATCTTCCCAGCCTCCCAGGCCTTTGGTCCTGGGCTTTGGCCTTTAGAGACCATAGTCAGACCACAGGCCTTCATGGGGAACAGCCCTCCTGGGCCCCACTCTGGCTGTCTAGAGCCACTTATTGCTCTGAGTTGCCACCTCTGCTTCTTAGGCGTCTTGTTTTCCGCTTGGGAGCCTGATCCTACACCCTGTTCCAGGTCAGAACCCTTCCTCCCACTGGGTCCCTGCTCGGTTTCCATGCCCAGGAAGTAGAAAGGAAGGCTTTCTGTGAAGCCCTTGGCACATGGAGGATACCGAAGCCCCTTGGCTGGGCCATGCCTTCTTATCCTTTTCTTTCCTCCCTGCTGAAACCCTTCCTCAGCAGCCAAACAGCACAGACCAGTGCACAGTGTTAACAGTCTTGAGCAGTGCGGCTGTCCCGGCCACACGGGGGCTAGCGCATGGCAAACCTACTGCTTCCACTCCTTCCTCTCGAACTGGCAGCTGAGGTCTGGGTCAGCATGAGCCCCAGCACTGCTCGCCCCAGCGGTGACAGTGTGGGGAGAAGAGGTTGCTGCCATGCAGCCCTGGCCTGGCTCATGTACAGTCTTACTCTCCAAACATCTGCTCTAGAGAAGAAAAGTGACCTAACCCAGACACCCAGCTTTCCCACATCATCCAGCCACTCCTGGAAGCCAACGTGGCTTTGTTCCTGCTGCCAGACTGTCCCTCTGTTCCTGCTGACTTCAGCAGAGGCATGAGAAAGCAAGGCTACCAAAGGAGAGAAAAAGAACTCCTTGTGCACCTTGGCCATGGTCCAGGGCCCTCACGCTCTAGGGTGTCCTCCAGAAGTGGGGAGCATGGGCAGGGAGCTGTGGTGGTGGTCAGCCCTGTGCAGGTTGGAGGCCTAGGGCCAGGGGGTGGCCTGGAGCTGGGAAGTGTGCGTGTTCCTGAGTTCCAGTCATGGCCCCGTAGACTTCAGGCCTGGGATTTTCTCTGTCTCTTGGGGATTCCTGCCACCCCACTTCTCCTCAGTGCTAGGGTCACCCCAAGCATCAAAGAGGGTTGTGCATGTGCCATGGACACTTCATCCACAGGGTGGAGCTGAGGGCACTGGCAGCCGGGGCCACTTCCCTCATGGGCACAGCTGCCTGCCCCTTAACTCTTGGGCCCTGTCTGGCAACCTCTGCCTGCCCTAATCTAGCACCCTCACACAGGGGACCGGTTCACCAAGGATGGTCTTCACATCGCCCCACCCAGCTCTGCAGGGGGAATCCAGCTCCACTCTGCACCCGTTAGAGCCCCCTGCACACCCCCAGCCTCTGGCCTGTGGCCTTTCAGGAGAAGGACCTGGGTTGCTGGGAGGGGCACGGCAGGGGACTTGGAGTGACTTCTGTAGAGAAGCATTGCTGCTGGAGCATGGTGTGAGGGCAGGGAGCTAACTGAAGGGGTAGGTGGCCCTGGAGTTGGGTCTCCTTAGGTCAGGGTTTCTTCTGGAGCACTCAAGAACTGTCAGAAACCATCACACTTGTTATGAGGGGTCAGAGCTCTTTGGAATGTCCAGCCTGGGCATTGGGTCTGCTGGCAGTGCTGAGGTCGTGTGTATCCTGGGTCTGTGGGACGAGCCATTCTGGCTTTATCCTTCCCGTGAGGCATGGTACCTGGGCTTCCAGGATACCCATCTATGGCACACACACCCACCCAGTCCTGGGCCTTTCTTCTGCTCCTGCGGGCACCTGGGCCTGGAAGATGCTTGGAGGCTCATTTTTTCCCTTATTGGCTGAGCAAGCCTCCTCTCTCCTGTGAGGTGGGTTGGTGTGGACTGGGCATGGCATTGCCGAGCCAGAGCCCAGCACATGGTCTCCCCAAGTAGCTGCTACTAGAGTCCTCGGGTGGTTGTGCTGGGCCTGCATGTGCACACACATCACCGGTGTCAGTAGTCTGTTCTGAGGAGGAGGCTTGGCCATGGGATGGGAGTGAGAGTGGCTGTTTATACTTCATTCCCTGTTTTGGGGGGAGGACAGTTAAGATATACCTCCCTTTTGGGAGGACCCAATGCCACCTAACCCGCATAGAAGCTGGAATCCAGAACCTTGGGCCAGGCAGGGGGCTCGTGCCAAGGTGTGAACTGGCATGGCAAGGCAGCTGGAGGTCCCACTTCCACCCTTGTCTGGGCTCTAGGTTGTAGTTTTGAAGTTCCCTGTGTACTTTGGAATCCGACTCCCGGAGTCTGGCTTACCCTCTGTGTCTGGGCTCTAGTTTGCAGTCTTGAAGTGCTCTGTGTACTCTGGTTTGGACCCCCTGTATACTCTGGTTTGCAGTCCCCATGTACTCTGGTTTGTACCCCCTGTGTACTCCGGTTTGCTCTCCCCGTGTACTCCAGTTTGGACCCCCGTGTACTCCAGTTTGCACTTCCCGTGTACTCCGGTTTGGACTCCCCGTGAACTCTGGTTTGCACTCCCTCTGTATTCTGGTTTGTACTCTCCATGTACTCTGGTTTGCATCTCCTGTGTTTGGCACCTCCTGCGTGAAGACTCTCATAGGGAATGGCACCAGTGCTGACCTGGGAGAGAGTGTATTGTGACTGTTCCCCTCTGGGCTATAGATTTCCATCAGGTTTGTATGGTGGGTCAGGGAGAGTGTGAGCACAGGGTATATTTGTTTGCATCTGGTGACTCCTTCCTTTACATAGTACCCCAGATTTATCTTAGTGTCCTCGGATCAAAAATAAGAGGCCCTGGTGTGAATGCTGTGTGAACACATGCTTTTCATTTTCCTCAGTGGGCCCATCTCAATGGTGTTCTTTCCTCACCGCATCTCAGGTCCCTCTACTATACCCTAAGTACCTGGAAGTCTAGTAATGACGAAGTCTTAACCAGCCACATGTGTCTCTTAATGTTTGGTCCAGTGCTCTGGGCTCTGTCTGGCTTTGTGAGCAGGAAGAGCCTGTATGTGTTTGGTGTTGAGGATATGGGCAGAAACCCTAAGCCTTTGCTCCATGCATTTGCCAAACCTGGCCTGAGGCCTGTTGGACCGAGCACTTTGGGGGCGCTTGCTGGGCTGTAGAGGAGAAAAGGCCACATTGCCATCCAGAAGGATCGTTTACCCTGACCGAGACATCTCTGTTTTCTGAGCCTTCCCTTTCAGAATTCTGTGCATCTGAGATGGTGTAGTTGGTCTTGGTGCCCTCACAGCCAGGCACCCAGGCACCCAGGCTCTGTGCGCAGTCTCAGGCCCTGTGCTCTGGTGCTACACACCTCTCTCCCCAGGAGCCAGGGCCAGCCAAGATGGCTGTCACCACCACCAGCAGCAGCAGCAGCATCCCCAGTGCTGAGAAAGTCCCCACCACCAAGTCCACACTCTGGCAGGAAGAAATGAGGGCCAAGGACCAGCCAGACGGGAGCAGCCTGAGTCCAGCTCAAAGCCCCAGCCAGAGCCAGCCTCCAGCTACTAGCACCCTGAGGGAACCTGGGCTGGAGGGCAGAGATGGTAAGTGGTGGCCCAAGTGCCCTGTCCTCGTGCCCCTCCTCGAAGCGCTGGAACAGGCCTCTGCCCTGCAGAGCCGGCTCGGGGGGCTCACTCGGGGACCTGCACAGCTCAGTTGTGAGCCGCATGCCTCAGGCTCTCTCACCTTCTGTGTCCATCGGCCCTAGGCAGGGCCTGGCCTGGTGTGGGCCTGGGATCCCAGGCTGCAGCCTTGACTTTGCCCCTGTAGCTCTGGAGGTCTGTCATAAAGGACAGCACGTGCTCAGCCCCAGGCAGGTGCTATGAGAGTCAGAATGCTCTGTAATGAGGTCTGTTTATGTGGCCTGTTTCTTGTCCCTTGTGGCTGCTTTGTATTCATGGCCAAGTTAACCCTAGAAGTTCACTGTGTCCTGAGAGCAGCAGTCGTTAGGGTTGTCTTGCCCTCCTCGCCATCCCATTCTGCCAGGCCCCTGGGAAGTAGAGGAAGAGGGTGCTGGAAAGGAAACAGCTGGCTTTTCCTTCTTACTCTGTGTCCACATCATTAAAGTGGACAATTTGGACTGACCCAGCTCATTCAGGCCAAAATGCATTTTGCACTAGCTCTGGGCAGAAGTCCTCATCTGGTAGCATGCACCCATCTGCGTCTGAGATTCACTGACTCTGGTTTCTGTGCATGTCCTCTGCCCCTTTCCTTCCCACAATAAGACTAAATGGCTCGTTGGTTCCTCCTTGATAATTTGGTAAGAAGTGGTTGTTGGTGGGACGTCTTTGGGGGGGGGGGGCATCCTGCTCTTTTGGTCAAGCCCCCAGACTGGAAGTGTAGGGCCTCCCTGGCCGTCTGGCCACGAGGCAGGCAGGCGAGGGGAGCAGTGGCTGAGGCGCAATGGAAGGGAGATGTACTCCCATCCCCTCTGCTGCCGAAGCACATTGCCTTTGGAGATGAGAGTAGAAAGGAGGCCCCTCTTTGGATCTGTGTGGGCTTTTAAGCGTCCTCAGAAAGCACAGATGGCAGTACGCTGAGTGCTGAGTGTGTCTCCTCCCTCCCCATCTCTTCTAGAGGAGAGCACCATGAGCAGCGACCGCATGGACTGTGGGCGCAAAGTCCGGGTGGAAAGTGGCTACTTCTCCCTGGAGAAGACCAAGCAGGACTTGAAGGCCGAGGAGCAGCAGCTGCCCCAGCCAGTCTCCCCTTCCAGCCCCAGCACCCCTAGCAACAGGTATAGTGACCCCGGACTGCCCTCCCAGGAGCTTGGTCATCCCCTTCCTTCCTCAGGTCCTCAACCCTACTGTCGAATGGTCTACAGCAGCTACCTCAGCTCTCTGGACGTGGCCAGCCAGCCTCCTGTTCATACGGACTCCAGCAGCACTGGGGGGCGGGGAGCAGAGAGACTGGGGTGCACCTTTGCCTTTAAAGCCAGCAGGCAGTATGCCACCCTGGCCGACGTCCCTAAGGCCATCAGGATCAGCCACCGAGAAGCCTTCCAGGTGGAGAGAAGGCGGTTGGAGCATAGGACTCGGGCCCGGAGCCCTGGCAGGGAAGAGGTGGCCCGTCTGTTTGGCAACGAACGGAGGTAAGGAGGGAATCCAGGGCTGAATGCGTGTACACACAGGCAGAGACTCCTCCCCACCTTGCACAGTCTCACACACTCCTATATTGTCACACACTCCTGTGCACTCTTCTCACACACTTGTCCTACACATTTCCCCACCCCCACCCCCCGGCCTTCCTGGGGGAGCACACTTGTCCTCCTTTCTGTCCAGAGCATGTGGGGAGCCTTTTTCTCCTGACCCTGCACTGGTTCCAGATTCGGCTCCTGGTGGTCAGAATGTAGGCTCTCTGGGTGACCAGCTGCTCCCCATGAGTGCTCCCTAGCCCTGGGACCTTAAGGGCTTCTGGTCAGGTCCTCAGCTGCCTGGGCCTTGTATGGCTGGATCTTTTTCTTCCTGGCCCAGTTCTGTTCTCAGAGGAGACAGACAGTGGAGGCAGGAACACCTCCGAGATGGAGGTGGTGGTAGAAACATTTTGCCACTACCAGTTCCAGGTGCGGGTGAAGGGCAGAGAAGGTGGCATGCCCAGGGAGGGGGGGTAGTAGAAAGTTTTTCCCTTGAGCACTTGCTTCTACAGGGCAGCCTGTGAAGCTGCTGGGTACCTGGCAGCATCGCTCTGTCCAGGTGTGGCTGACATGTGAAATAGGGGACAGGGACAGAGCCACAGCTTCCTGAGAGAAGGTGGGGTCTGGCCATGTGCCCAAGATGGGGGCTTGCAGTGGAGGTGTGGGACTTGCCTGGAGTCTGAGGGGAGCAGGGCTCCCCTTTAGGGGCTGGCCTGGAGTGATGTGCCCTCCTTTTGTGCTCCCTTCTCTTTTTAGTACCTACCCACTCTCCCCCACATTCCATGTAGGAATAACCTGTGAAGCTGTGGATTAGCCTCCAGGATAAGGGAAAGACACCCAGAGTTGTGTTGGTCTTAAAAGATGAAAACAGAATATTCCTAATTCCAAGAGACAGGGAGAGGGAGACGGACCTGCTGCATGGGAGGCATTCCACCAAGCAGCTGGCTGTCTTCTCCTTTCATTAGTAACCCTGAGGTGCCTGTGTTGGCACCCCCGTGTACAGGTGCAGAGACGGGTCAGAAGCAGGGCGACTCCTCACAGGCACAGCCCGGAGCAGGGGAGCTGGGACACGTCTGTCGGGTCCTTACTGGGAGGGCCCTGCTCCCGTGACATGACTGGGAGCAGTCATGACTGTGAGCAGTTAGGGAATAGAGAAGTACAGGGACTTGCCAGGGATTCCGGAGGCCAGCCACCAGGGTAGGAGAGGCTTCGCTGGCCGGTGGGCAGACTGCGTGCTCTGAAGGCTCGCGAGTGGGCAGCCATGCCCTGGTTCAGTGGCAGACCAGAGAATTAACATTCAGCACACTTGCTTGGCTTTGAACTCATTCTTGTCTGGTGGCCTGGGGTTAGCAGTATCCCTGAGCTTCGCTGTCTTGCACGCTCTCTGCCACCATGGGCTTTCACCTTGTGCTGGCACCCGTGGCACCCAGCCAGCTCTGCACTCTGGAATGCCACCTTCTTACTGACCCTGATGGCAGCTGGCTGGCTGCTCTCGCTTCCCAAGGCCTGTGGTCCCGAGGAGCTGGCCTGTGCTTGACTGGGTTTCTGTCTCCTGGTTGAGGAGAGCAGAACCCCACGCTGGCAGGTTGTCAGCCATAGCTACTCCGAGTGGCAGCTGGCCCAGGCCTGCCCAGGGGCCAGGCTGCGGGATGCCGAGTTAGTTTCCTGGAAGTGATGGCCCTGAAGCAGTTCTGTGTGGGCTGATCAGCTCCGCTCTTCAGACTTGCTCCCAAGCCTTTGCAGCGTTCCTTGTGTGGTGAGGTGCTGTCCAGTGAGCGTGGGGAGGCCGTGGCCCTGCGGCCTGCTGGTGGCTGTGTGACACCAAGGCCAGCTCAGTGTGGTCCTGCGTGCCCCTGGGCAGGGAGCCCGGAGAGGGCGATGGGCAGAGGTATAGCACCTCTGCGCTGTGCTGTCCACCCGCTCAGGGAGGCGTTTGTGGTCACTCATGTAGTACTTCAAGGGAACCAAGTTAAAAACTTCCCATTTTGCAAAGTGAACATGACTGACTTCTCCAGAGCCCCATCCATGTGGAGAGGCTGCGGGGACCTCCTCTTTCCTCATCTGCCTCCTCTGTGCAGCCCTGGGGCCCTGCGGCATGCAGAGCCCACATGACCTGGCTGGGCGCTGCTCCTCACTGCCTTCCTGGCCTCCAGCCCCTGGCTGCACTGGAGGGTTCTCCTCAGCAAGTGGTAGCCTGCATCTTGTTCGAACCTCACTGGGCTGGTCGGGCATGGGGCTGCATCACCTGCCTGACCAGACTGAACACTTGCAAGAGCTTCCTGTGGTCCCGGAAACTCCTGCCTCTGCCTCAGCTTCCTGTGCGCAGACGCATGCCCTCTGCTGCTGCCCTCTCCTGCTGCCCTCCCTCAGCCACCCTGCACTGCTGGTCTGGTAGGCTGTTCCTGGAGAAGACTCGCAGAAGCTTGGTGCCTGGGGAGGAGCAGGGAGCAGGGGCCCCAGAGCTCAGCCTTGGTGTTAGGCCTTCCTTGATAAGAACCCTGAGATAGCCATTTATCATGGCAGCCCTTACCGAGGGAAAACTGGCCAGGGGGGTCAGGGGGTGGGGCTCAGGTTTTGAGGCTGCTTCCTCTTCTTCCTTCCCGAGCAGATTTGAGTCTTCTGGGCTCAGAGGCCCTTTACTCCCTCCCCTCGACTCTCCACCACTTGTCCAGAATGCAAAACCCTCCCTAAGAGGCAGCTTCAGGGCAGTTGCCTGGGTGTGGGAAGACAGGCCAGTCCTGTGACCTCTGGAAGTTCGAGGCCCTGGCCCCCAGTGTGCCCCACCTGGCTCCCTGCCCACGCCCTGTGGGGACTCATTAGTCTCCCCTCCTCAGGGATCACCTCTGGTTTTGTTTCTTTAATCCTTTGAATGATTTTGATTTACCATTATTTGATTTTAAAAAGCAGTCCTTTTCTGTGTATTTATTTTCCAGCCTTGTTTTCTTCCAGGTCTTGCCCCTCTCCACCTCTCCTGCTGTGTCGCTGTGACGTTCCTCGCCCCTCCCGCTGCTTCGCTCCCATCTCAGCTCCGTCTCCGCCGCAGATGGCCTGACGATGCCGCGGCCCTTTCACATGAAATCAACTTGCTTGTTTTGTTTAATTTGGTTTTGATTCTTTTTACTGTTGGCAGAAACAATGTTAATTCATGGGCCTTTTGCTAAATTTTGGACACCTTGTGTCCTGCATTGTGACCTTCTAGGAATTTGATGAGAATGGGGCTGTCCCCCTCCAAGCTGGTGGTTGCCTTCTGATCATGTCTGTGGCTCAGCAGAGGATGCCTGCTGATGAGCTGTGTGATTGCTGAGTGTGTCAACTCAGCAGGCCATGCAGGGACCTCTGGTGTTGGGGGGCAGGCAGAGGACACCAGAGGCCCTTGCCATGAGCTGCTGCCTGCCCGCACATCTCCACTCTCCTCAGGCAGTGAGTGGGAGCTCAGGGAGGGGTCAGAGGTGGACTGCCGAGTGCACTGTGCACAGCTCCACCCTCCGCAGGCAGTGAGTGGGAGGGGTCAGAGGTGGACTGCCGAGTGCACTGTGTGCGTTGCCTGCACACTCTATGGAAGGGAAGCCCCGGGAAGGTGGGGGTGGGCCAGCGTGAGGGTGTTGACGGAAGGAGCCCATCTGCAACTTGAGTCCAAACCCACCTGGTCTTTGTGGTGACCTGTCTCCCCCCAGCAGCCTCCTGTCCTCTCTTGCAGGAGGTCTCAGGTAATTGAGAAATTTGAAGCCTTGGACATTGAGAAGGCAGAGCACATGGAGACCAACTTGTCAGCCGGGCCCTCACCGTCAGGCGACACTCGCCAGGGCCGTAGTGAGAAGAGGGCATTCCCCAGGAAGCGGGTGAGCACAGGCTCGAGCAGTGCTTCTGGGGCTGGGCGGGCAGAGCAGCACATGGCTCCTGGGCACCCGGACACTCCTGGGCTGCCCACTCCTTTCGCAGTTGCTCGCTTGGGTGTCTCACTCCTTCTCCAGTCAGTGAACTTCTTAGAGGGAGCCTGTCTTCTTCGTCTTCCTGTCTGAACTGATCATCTCTGCCATAGGCTCTTCTGGCTCTTCAGGTCCTGTGGCCAGAGCCTCTCTTCCTCCAGGGTGGCCTGGCCGTGAGGCTGTACACCTTCTCTCTCAGGTGGCTGCGTGGCCTCCGTTCCCTGCCCACAAGGGTGGGCTCTGCTCAGTGCTGAGAGCCTCCGCTGCCAGTAGCTTGGCCGCGTCTCATCTTCCTCTTCCTCCCTAGATTTTCTCTGGGCTCCTGAGTGGCCTGCTGCTCTGCTTGCAGCCACGTAACTCCGGGCTCTTCCTTTGGTGACCCCAAAAAGCAGGGGGTGGGCGGGACCAGGAAATTGGCAGTGACTGGTGTGTCTGAAAGACATGGCTGCTCCCCCTGCCTGGAGCGGAGCAGAAGGTGGCGCTCGATGGGCAGTCTGGGACCAGGCTCCTTTCCTCTGCCCCGGCAGACACAGCATTCGCTTGGAAACAGGTCCCTGCAGTCCTGACCCTCCCACAGCTCTGGCTGCCGGCCTCCCTGCTTCCTGCCCGAGTTGACAATTAACACTGACTGGCGGCTGCTCTCTGCCACAGGACCTCCCCAGTGAAGCCCCCACAGCTCCTCTCCCGGACGCCTCCGCCTCCCCCCTGTCTCCACACCGAAGAGCCAAGTCACTGGACAGGAGGTCCATGGAGTCCTCCCTGACGGTGAGCCCAGGCGCCCAAGCACCAAGGCCTGGAGACGCTGCTCCTGCTGCTTCTGTCCCTTGAAGTCACTGTCTGCTTCTGTCCGTGCGTCTGTACTGGCGTGCCCTCTGCTGGGCCTGCATCCGTGTGTGGGAGCAGCCGCGCTGTTCCTTTCCATTTTCCGGGCTCTGGGCGTCCTGAGCTCTGCAGTCCCAGTCGAGGAGGCCCCCTGGCCAAGGCAGCGGAATCCTGACTCCAGGGATCGAGGACAAAGTAGAGAGCCCTTGTTCTTCTTATTTGGGGTGTTTGTTTCTGTGACATTTTGGAGGCAGGGAGTCCCCTTTTGCTGGGAGCACGTGTCCTGTCCGTGGGTTTTCACCACAGAGGAGAAGAGGCCCTTGTCCAGGTGGTTTGGGCTGCAGCAGGGGGGTACATAGGGAGTGCTCAGAGGAGTCCATGTGGCACCCCTGCTCCCACCGGCAGTGACAGGCCAGAGGCCCCGGGAATGACAGACAGCTGCTTTTGTCCTCAGCCTCCTGAGGAACCCAGGGCTATTGCCACCCCCCACCATCCCCCAGCGGGGCGTGGAGCCACCAGCCAGGTGCGCGGAACTGACACGAGGACAGGTCTTACCTGGGGGAAGTTCGGTTTTTTCTTGAGTTCTGGATTTTGCTCAGGGGTTTGGAGCAGAGGCTCCCAGAACAGGTGGCATTGGTCCTTGTCCTGCCGCTACACATCTGTTCTGACGCCCTCCCCGTCCTTGGAACACAAGAAGGTGTCACAGCCTGTTTTTTGCTCAGGGCAGCTGTAGAAAAGTAGAGAGCACGTAGGGTGAGAGGAAGGACAATCCATGCCCATTTGAGGCTCGAGACGAAAATCGCAAGCAGGGCCCAGGTGGGCTGCAGTGATCCTAGTGAATGTGAACAGCTCAGTACAGGAGGGACCGCAGGAGTCGCACCTTGTTCCAGCAGTCCTGCTGCATTGTCTGCGGCCTGGCTCTGCTCCTTGTGGGGAGATGGAGACAGCTTCATCCTGGTGCCGATGAGGGGCCCGAGGGTCCTGGCTCTGCTCCTTGTGGGGAGATGGAGACAGCTTCATCCTGGTGCCGATGAGTGGCCTGAGAGTCCTGGCTCTGCTCCTTGTGGGGAGATGGAGACAGCTTCATCCTGGTGCCGATGAGTGGCCTGAGAGTCCTGGCTCTGCTCCTTGTGGGGAGATGGAGACAGCTTCATCCTGGTGCCGATGAGTGGCCTGAGAGTCTTGGCAGGGCTTCTGCTGCATCTTTCTTACAACCAGACATGGTCTCTGCTCCTTGGTCTTCTGCTCTTTCTGAGTTTTTTGTGGCTTTTGCAAGAATTTCTGCATTCTCCTTTTAGCTGTCACCGCAGACCTTCCCTTCACACAATACGCTCTGTGGCCCTCCACCTGGCCATTCTTTGCCTCCCAGGCAGACGGAGCAAGGGCCTGTCTCAGAGCACCAGGCAGCTCTGCTGCTCACAGGGCGAGGAGACTGGGGTCTCCCCTTCCCAATAGCCTGCCCATCCTGGCTGCCTCCTTCAGAGGTGTGTGTGCTGTGGAGGGGCCACAGGCAGCACCCACTGGGGCAAAGGGGGCCATGCAGGCTTGTCTGGTGGGTGGAAAGACCCCTTTTCCTGGTGCCCACCTCCTCTGGACAGAGATGCCTGCTCTGTCATCACCTTTGCCCATGACTGGGATACACTGTTTTCCTCTGGACTGTTTTTTTCTTTCCTCAGCCTGACCTGCTGAATTTCAAGAAAGGCTGGCTGACCAAGCAGGATGAGGACGGCCAGGTGAGTGTGCAGGGCTGCTGTGGCTCGGGGGCTGGGAGCACTGCTCTGCCCGCCTCTGGCACACCCCTGGTGTCATGGACAAGGGCAAGCACTGGGGGAAGGTGCTTCTGGAGAGGTGTCAGGCAGGCCTGCCTGCTGCCAGAGTGAGTAGTTGCCCTCCCTACCTAGCAGCGGTCTTGGCCACAGGCTGTGGGGACATCCTCCAACACAATCTCCCAACTGGCTGATCTTTCCTAAAAGTTCTCCGAGAGACCAGGCTTCCCAGGGACAGAGAACGCCTCTGGTTGTAGGCTTGGCTTGTGTTTGTGTGCAAGGCAGCCAAGTAGACAGCAGCTGGGGCAGCAAGACTGTAAGAGATACCAGCTCAGCCGCATCCTGAGAGAGCCTTGTGGTACATTCTTAACATTAGACTCGAGCAGGAAGAACCGTTCACAGCTGGGCCTGCCAGCCCCACCTTGACCCTGGCTGGCTGGGCGGCCAGACCTCCAAGGAGGCATGAGGCCAGGGCCTACCCAGAGGCCATTAAGCCTCTCTGCCCACGTTCTCCCACCTGCTTCCTGGGTGGCTGTGCTGAAACCTCCTCTCTCTCTCTCTGTATTAACCCTCCTGGCCTGGCAACTCAAGTCTCCCTCTTTGCTACTCACAGTGAAGACTTGGGAATCTGGCTGGTTGGTTTGCAGCTGCTGGCACACTCCTCTGACTAACCAGCCAGTGGCTGTGGCTCGCAGGTGGCCTCCTTAGGGTAAAGATGCTATTTCCACAGCCTCCTTTCCTTCTAAGGGCTCAGCTCCGACTGCTGCCTCTTGAGTTGAGATTGAGGACTGCGAAGTACTGTTCATTAGCCTCACCACTGCGGTTACGGAGAGCTCGCAGCTGTGGCCCACCCCAGTGCTCCCTCCTGTCCTGTCACTGGGGAGCCAAGGCTTCACAAGTGCCCTGAGATCATGTGTGCATGGCTGCCTGCGGCCTGAGCAGGGTCCTCTGTGTGTCCTCCACTTGTGGGGGGCTGTCTGCCCTCTGCTTTCCATGTACTCTGGGAGGTGCCCCAGTACTCTGGCACAGACCACCTTGCAGCAGGAAGTGTGCTGTGTAGTAGCTGAGTTTATCTTTTCCCTTCTGTTTTAGTGGAAGAAACACTGGTTTGTCCTTGCTGATCAAAGCCTGAGATACTACAGGGATTCGGTGGCCGAGGAGGTGAGTACCTGTCTAGGCTTTGCTGCCTCTGGGGAGACAGCAGAAGGAGCTCAGGCAGGATCTGGGAGCCCAAGGTCCCCAAACACCACTGCTTCTCCTGGATTGAAGCCCCTCTGTTCGCTGATGGGCGTCTGCATTGCTGTCTTGGGTCTCCCAGTCCAAGTCTAGGGGGGCTGAGCACAGTGCAACCAGCTTTTGATGTTCTTGAGACTGGTCCTTCCTGAACGTCAGGGTCTTCTGAGGCGCTCCCCAGCCACCTGGGTGCAGTGGGTTTGAGCACCTTGGTCTGTTCTTTGAAAAACACTGGAAGATGTCTTATTTTAAAACTCAGGGTGACCAGTTCTATCTTTTCTATAGAGATTTTGAGCCTTTTGAAGACCCAGACTAAAACCTTGTCCCTCCTCTTCTGGATGAGGATGGATGTGGCTGATGACTTGGTTGACTAGTTGACAGTCCTGATTCCACACTGGAAGCACCAACCAGAAGGAGCTTTTTTTCTCACCTACAAAAAATAATGTTTTTGAGCAATTTAGCAAGCGTGTTTCTAACCTTGCCCCTGTAGCTCCACTCCAGGAGTCCTTTAGGTGGGTCTCCACAGGTAGAAGAGATCTGTGTCCGAGGTCAGCCACTCTGTACCTTTGTGATAGCAAGACATTGAGAAGAACCTAAATACCTGTCATTGAGGAGCTGGTTATATACACTTACATACCCTTAACCTAAAAACCAAGTTCTCAGTGGAGTGAAGTGGAAAGATGTTGGTGATACAAGGCAGGCGTAGACCAATGTGGTTTGCTGGCCTCTGGCGTGCCTGGCATTGGGGGGACAGAGCCCGTGGAAGTGTTTGGCCAGCCACCTGTGGGTCCGCTGCTTGCATGGACCAGCAGTTCTGAGCCTGGGCTACAGTCCCCTGGAGATGCTGTAGTGGGCCGGGATCCTCGAAACTGTTGGCTTTGTCAGTGTGTTCACGTCTGCACTGCGGGCACAAGCAGTGGTGGGTGAGGCTGCGGGTGCCTGGGCCAGTCGCAGGCTGCAGCCGCAGACAGCCAGCAGGCCTGTTCTTCACGCCCACACACTCTTGGTGTTAAAGAGAGTTACTACTCTTACTAAGTCTCAATCCTTGGAGACCCATCTTTTAATATGCTGTAATTCGAAATGGGAAGTAAGCATACGTCACTTCTGCTCCACACCAAAGGATGAGGGCTCTTGAGGCATGTGTGCCCTCTCTGCACTGCCTGTTGAGCTCACAACTTTCCTTGTGGAACCCCCTCTGCTTGAAGGACCAGCGAACAGACAAACTGCTCATTCATCTTGGGTGTTTAGCAGACATATTTTTAAAAATGAGCCAATTGAGCCTATTCCTTCAAGGGAAACAACTGACAGGATGTGCTAATGCTACAAGATGAGCTTTCAAGCACACATTGGAACTGGGGGAAACGTGTGCTCAGCGTCATGAACTGGCAGCTCTCCTTTCCGTGCAGACTGCCCTGCCCAAGGCAGTGGGCACAGCGAAGGCAGTGTCAGAGCCGGTGCACGTAACCTGCTGCCTTCAGGGACCGGCACACAGTGCTGCACAGGCAGCGTAGTACAGGGTTTCCGCAGAGGTCAGGCTCCGCTGAGGGAGGGTCCTCGACGTGTTCTCAGATTCCACTTTGCACTTAACTCTTTAAAATGACCTCTTAAAAAATAACCACAATTATCTGAAGACTTAAAATGCATCTCTCTTTGTCAACTCCATTTTCATGCAAGGCCAGGCTGTCTTCATATACTTAGGCCAAAACAATATAGCCATCAGACTGAATTGAGAAACAGATATGAGAAGCCTGCCATTAGATTTGTAAACATTTGAATCAATGCCATTCTTTATCACTGGTTTTTTAAATAATATTTTTGTCAAAAAATGTAATATGCTTATTTGTATTCTTAAGTGAATAGATATGTTTTAATTTTTTTCAGTTGAATTTCTAATGTAGTATATACCAGTAGATAAAGGCACATAACTCTTCGGGGTCCTCAGTGAAGACTGTCCGGCAGTTCCACCATCAGCACATTGGAGAACCGTCAGATGGGACATCTTTGGTGGGATGCACATGGGGAAATGGAGCCACTGGTGCTTCCGTGTAGCATGAGCTGCAAGGAAAAAGGCCGACACACAAAATTATTCGTGAAAACTTGTTTGTCTAGTATTGACTCTCGTTTCTAAATCTCTTATACGACATCTCATTTCTCTCTGCAGGCAGCTGACTTGGATGGGGAGATCAACTTGTCTTCATGTTACGACGTCACGGAGTATCCGGTCCAGAGAAACTACGGCTTTCAGATACACGTGAGCCCAAGGGTGGGCGTGGGGACAGGCTGGCTTCCCGGGCTCCGTCAGCAGGTGTTCTTCCCCCCCCCCCCCCCCCGGCGGGCACCTTGTCCTGTTTCTGCCTCAGTCCTGTGACCTGACCCCACCCCTAGTTTGTGATCTCTGTGAAAAATTAGACATTAGCATCTTTTAAGATTGTTTAGGAGTTTTTTGTTACTGAAGGTTTTTCTTTTTTTTATCCTGGAGTTTGGGACTTTTGGAATGATGTGTAAGATATGGGGAATAAGAATGAAAGTGTTAATTATTTAAATCTCACAGTACTACTTTTATATTTACTTAAACTTCAGTTTGTTCTTCCAGTCATAAATTTCAAAATTTGTTTACTTTTCCCCCCCACAACCTTGTAAGGGACTCACGAGCAAGTCATTGCCCTTGCCCTCAGAAAAATAACCTGGGCGGATAAATAAGGCAGCTCTCGGGGTTCATTCATTCAAGCTGATGGCTAGAGGGTCACCTGACCAGCCAGGCTCAAGATGAGGACACAGCCTCTGCCTGCCAGGCCTGCTCCCTGCTGACACCGGCTATGAGTTAGGGCTCAGCAGCTCACCAGAATGGCTCAGAGAGCACAGGGAACAGGGAAGCACTGTGCTCACAGCTGTGGCTTTATTCTAGCAGAAGGACACAGATTAGAACCAGCCAGATGAAGACATACCTGGAGTGTTGACTAGGAGGGCCCTGAACGCATGCTCTGTGTCCTCAGGCACATGTGCCCCACCCAGGCAGCTCCCCAGCCAGTGTCCTGGGCTCTCACTCAGTGTCACAGCCCACGGCTGATGGAGCCGGGTATGGTTGGACACAGTCTCCAGGCTGCCCCTTAGAGGTTGGCTGATTCCACAGGGCCCGTGGCCCATCCCTCTCACTCGCGGCTGGTCCTTAGCGTGTAGCCAGCTCCCGCCCTGAACAACAAGGGTTCACAGGTGACCTCTCAGGAGCTGGGACCAAGTCCAGACCTGTTTGTGAGAAGCGAATTCTTTCCTCACAAGGGACTTGTGAGGACCTGACAGGTGGAGGACACCTGACAAAGCTGCCATTGCAGGGGCTGCCCTGGGACTCCGTCCCTCACAGGAGCTAGAGCTCAGATGGGGTCTCACCTTCAGATTGTGGGTGCAAAGACGCAGTTGTATCGTTGGACTCAGAGTAGGTCAGGCGCATTGAGACTGACTCACATTAACCAAACTTAAAGGACACTGAGGTTCAGACTCAAAGGCCAGTGTGTTCATTAGAAGGAGAAATCCAGTTACCAGCCCAGCGGGCTGCTGATCATGGCATTCCTCCTGAGGGAGCCAAGTCATGAGGCCAGGGCACGAGTTGGTGGATCTTAGGGTTCACCGCCCCACTAGGATGCTCTTCTGCCCCTGGTCCCCGCAGGAGAAGCTGGCATGCCCAGCGAGCTAGGTCTGAGCCTCTGTTTGGGGCCAGCACTGGAGACAGTGGTGGTCTCTGGCTTCTAGGCCCCACGCTGAGGCCCTCCTCCTCAGAGAGGAGGTTCCTCCAGCCAGGGCACCCTGAGTCAGAGATGGCCTGTCACAGCTCCCATCACTGAGCAGGTTGCAGCTTAATTGTTCTTGGGCCTGAGCCGTGCTGTCTGCTCTCACCTGCTGTCTGGTCGTCCTCACATTATCTGAGGGGGAGCTTAGCCCAAGTTCTGATGCTTCTCCATGAGCCCCACGGCCTGAGGGCGTCTGGGTCACAAGAGGTTGCTCTCGATGTGGGAGTGTGGGTCCTGGGGTGGAGGAATGAGTGTGCAGTGTCCCTAGCCCGGCCCCCAGACCTAGGGGCACCTCCAAGGGAGGGCAGGGGCAGCACTGTGGGAGCCCCAAGCGCCAGGCCAGAAGCCAACTTCGTCCTGATGTGCTGGAGCACCCTGGAACATGCTGGAGGACGCAAGGTGGCTGGGACACGCCTCCCAGCTGTGCAGGCAGAGGAGGCTGAGCAGGTGCAGTGCTGGTGGGCAGAGAAGAAGGGCTGAGAGGCACTGCGGCGGGAGCGCACGGCCGTGCTTGGGCAGGTGCAGGAGGAACGGGTGTGAGGTCATGTGCCCCAGAGCATGGCAGGCCTGGTGCAGAAGGTGGGCAGCAGAGGTGACTGCACGGAAGGAGCAGAGCCTCTGGAATCCTGGCTGTGACGGGCGCTCTGAGACTTTAGACAGGCAGCCACGTGTGTGGACCCGCCATTGAGGTCATGGGAGAGAAAGTGGAAATTGCTGAGATCAGATTGCAGAAACACCCATACCTGGACTGGGGGCAGACAGAAGCCCTCAGGATGAGTGTGAGCAGGTCTCAGGGACACAGGGAGGGCTGGGCCTAAGGCACAGCACGTCGGATGGCTCGGAGGCCATGTCCCCACCCTTGGAGTAGAGCAAGGGAGAACCGAAGGAGAGCTGGACCGAGGGCTGTGGGCTGTCCGACTGGGACATGCTGGTGGGACTGAGGTGGAAGAGGAGGTCAAGGCCAAGCTGTGTTTTGCGTACTCCAGGCCGGCATGTGGTCTCTTGTGATTTAGTTCCGTCCACGCCATTTCCTGACCCAGATCCCTCCCTGGTCATTTCATCTTCCCGTCCGCTGTTTGCTCACGTGACTTCTGGGTTTGTTTCTGAGGAGCCTGAGCAGCTCTGAGAACAGGACTGGCACCTCACTTCTGTGAGACAGGAGCCTTTAGGTGCAGAAGCAGGAAAGGGGCTCCATGGAGACCGCCACCTGTGTTTCCCATCCCCGCCCTTCTCAGGAGATGCTGGGCAGGGCTGCTGGGGATGTAGGGACCGGGCCCCAGATGACACTGCTCCCCCCTCGCTGGCATTGCTGCCTCCTCTTTGCTCCTCCTTCTGGCTTCCCTCCCTCCTGTCTGCACAGCCCCCACTACAGATGTGATTCTCTGTCTTGACTGAAGTCCCACCAGCTCATCCATGTCGGGATCTGAGGGTTGTCCTAGAAGTGCTCCCTTCCCTATTCTCTGTCACCTCCCCCGCCACCGTAATTCTGATTTCCTAGACAGCTGCCAGAGCTGCCAGCAGGCCTGCCTGCCTGCCTGCCCCTCCCTGTCTCCCTCTGTGCCTGGTGAGCGTGGCCACATGGTGCTAAGTTTGGGCTCTGGCTTGGTCTGGGACATGCACCTCTTTCCATCCATACAGCCCCCCTCGCCCCACAAGGCCCAGCTCAGCCTTTCTTTCCCACGGCTCCCCACATGCTCACACTCTCTTCCCCTCCAGTCTGTGAGTTTCCTAAAGAGCAGGGTGAGTCACCTCAGTGCCAGGGCTTGTAGGTACTTGGGAAATGCCTGCTAAGTCTGACAGAGGGAGAGAAATAACCTGTGATAGCCATTACCATGAACGCAGACCAGTGTCCGCAGCTTTGCTAGTGCCTTTGCTCTCCAGGTGCTATTTATCAGGATGTGCACAGTGCCCCTGAGACAGCCCCCTGGCCACAGTCCTCCCTGCAGGCCTTCCTTGGAGGGTGGGGAGGTGGGTGATGGTCACTGATCATGCCTTGTCTTTGGTGTAGACAAAGGAGGGTGAGTTCACCCTCTCTGCTATGACATCTGGAATCCGGCGGAATTGGATCCAGACCATCATGAAGCATGTCCATCCGACCTCTGCCCCAGATGTGACCAGGTAAAGTCTAAGGGAGCCACCTGGCGCAGCACGGCCTCCTTTCTGCCTCTTTAGTCCCACCGCTGACTGGTCCCTGCTCATTCTTTTTTTTTTTTCCCTTGTTAATCCTTACCCGAGGATATTTCTCCATTGATATTCAGAAAGAGTGGAAAGGAGGGAGGGGGACAGAGAGACACACACCTCAGTGCGAGAGAGACATCCATCGACTGCCTCCCACATGACCCCAACCTGGGCTGGGGATTGAACCTGCAACCCAGGCACGTGCCCTTGACTGAAAGCAAACCTGAGACCCTTTGGCCTGTAGACCGACGCTGAGCCAAACCAGCCAGGGCCCTGCTGATTCTTTCTGGCTCCCTGGTTTCTGTGTGTCAGGTCACCTTCCCTCCTTGAAGACTGGTTGGTGCCGCTGGCAGGTCTGAGTTCCCCTCGGTGGACAGGGCTCTGGGCTTTGCTGCAGCTGTGCTCCAGAAGCTTCATCCTGGCCCCCGTAGCATCTCTTTCTTGTTTCCTTTTCTCACCTCGCTTCTCCATCTGTTGCATTTCTGTGCACCCAGGAGAAGTCTCTGAAATTCTTGGTGCTGGAGCCTAAGTTGGAACACTGTTCCCCCCATAACGGTCTTTGGTTCACATGTGTCATGGTTCGCTGTGCGCCTGTCTCCTCCAGTCCTAGAGGTTAGAACTTCCTGGTTTCCTTCTGAAGGAGGATGTGAGTCCACTGGCTGGAGCTGGACCCGAGGCCCGGAGCTCCGCCTCACCTCAGGGCTGACAGCCTCTGCCCCTCGGACAGCCTCCCCCCGCCCTGACAGCCTCTCCCCTCGGACAGCCTCCCTCCTCGGACAGCCTCCCCCCCGTCCTGACAGCCCCCCTCGGACAGTCCCCCCTTTAGACAGCCTCCCCCCCCCCCAGACAGCCTCCACCCCTCGGACAGCCTCCCCCCGCCCTGACAGCCTCTCCCCTCGGACAGCCTCCCCCCCGCCCTGACAGCCCCCCTCGGACAGGCCCCCCCTTAGACAGCCTCCCCCCCCCAGACAGCCTCCCCCCTCAGACAGCCTCCCCCCCTCCCTAGACAGACTCCCCCCCCCCCCAGACAGCCTCCACCCCTCAGACAGCCTCCCCCCCCGACAGCCTCCCCCGCGAGCATCTCCCTGACACTTCTCAGGCATGCAGTTTCAATGACTCCTCAAGTGTTTTCTTACGCTCCAGGTGGCCCGGGTGCCTGCTTGGTGCCCTGTTGACCTGGGGTGGCTGTGGCCATGCCGAATCTTTTAAGTCCTTGCCTTCCTACTAGTGACACTGCACCTCTGTGAACAAGAAGAAAGCAAAGGAGCCCAAAATGGCTTTTCTTCCAATGTGTATAGGCACTGTTTGTTCAGTAATTGTTCCTGCGTCGGTAAGGCCAGGAGTGGTGACCGGGACATGCCGTTCAGCGTCCTGTTAGTGGAATGCGTCCTGTGTACAGAGATGTAAGAGGCACCCCCCTTCCATGGGGCTGCGTCCCATGCAGCTCAGCAGCTCTGCCCCTCGGCTCTCCCATTCCAGAGCAGAGGCAAAGCCTTGCAGGCCCCACAGTCTTTCTGAAACTTAAGGATGCCCCAAAGCAAAGCAAGAGAGGCACCTCGGGCTTCTCTGCCAGGCTGCTATGTGGCTTGCAAGAGGTAGGCGGCTCAGGCAGTGGGCACACAGGGCCAAGTGGCCTCAGGTTGGGCCTCTCCTAGCCACTGGCCCTCACCTGCTCACCCTGGCCCTGTACAGCAGGTTGAGGACCCGGCTGGGGGATGTCAGCTTTGGGACTTCTCAGGGCAGGTGTGGGGCTTTGGCCTCCAAAGAGTTATAAAGGGTACACTCGAGCCCACCTGTGTGTGCATGCGGCTTAAAGAGGGCATCTGCCAGCCCTGGCCCGTGTTGCTCAGCGCTTAGAGCATCAGCCTACGGACCAAAGAGTCACGGATTGATTTCAGTCAAGGGCATGTACCTTCGTTTTGGTTTGGTCCCTGGCTCTGGTTGGGATTGTGCAGAAGGCAACTAATCAGTGTGTCTCTCACATTGATGCCCCCCCCCCTCCCCCCACTATCTGAAGATAAATAGAAAAATAGTTTCGGGTGAGGATTTAAAATAAAAAGTGGCATCTACAAACCCTGGCCAAGTGGTTCAATTGATTGGTGTGGGTTCTGTTCCTGGTGAGGGCACATACCTAGATTGTGGGTTCAATCCCCACTCTCAGGGGCATGTATGGGAGGCAGCTGATCAATATTTCTCTCTCATCTCTGAAATCAATGAGAACATATCCTCAAGTGAGGATAAAAGAAGTGCCTCTCCCAGGCCGGCAGGCAGGCGTGTCTCCCTTCCTCACAGGCACCAGCCTTGGACAGGGGCTGGATGGGCTGCGCAGGGCCAGCATTTGTTTCTGCAGGGAGGCTGGCATGGCCACTGTTTCTGACTAGGGTTCCCTTCATGTTAGTGGAGAGGTTTGTTTCCTGGTTAGTTTTCAGCCTTTGTGCTTGTTTGATATGGGCTCTTATAGTTTGAGGAAAATGGATTTTTTTTAGTGCTACCAGGCTAAGTCCCAAGAACGTATTAGGAACAGTTACAGACATCAGAGGCATTGGGTGAAGCTGGGTGCTGTAGGCTCCCTGTGTTTGGTGGGGGTTGGGGTTTCCTGCCTGGGGGCTCAAGGGGCCCAGGAGGGGCTTCCTCTGTCAGAGAGACGGGCGGGTCCAGTGCCCACGTGGCTGCCGCCGCCTGTGTCCCTGTCCTCCAGTGCCCTGTGGTCTGTGGGTCTGCTCCACCTCTCGTTCAGGGCATCGGAGGTCTGTCCTGGAGAATCTTTGTTCAGATGCAGATGTACTCTTAAAGGGGAAACTCACAGGTCCTACCCCTCTGAAGCACTCACTGCTCAGCCCTGGGACGGGTGGCCTAGCAGGTGATGATGGTGAGCCCATTCTCTTCTCCTTGGGCCCCTGTCACTAGCTCCTTTCTCTTTGGCCCCATTTAAACACAGGTGCTCCCTGTAGCACTCAGCCCTCGTAGCCCCAGGGCTTCCTACTGTGCTCTTTGCCCCTGTCCCTTTCAGGCTGTGGGTCTCTGGGGTTTATCCAAAGAGCGTGGAGATCGCGCCTCAGCCCACCATGACTGACGCCTCTGTCCTTTCCCTCCCTGGCTCTGCTTCTCTTCAGGAGTCTTCCCTTTGGGCACATTGGGGAGAGGCGTGGGCTTGCTGCTGGGCAGGTAGAAGTGCCCTTGAGGGCCCTGCCCTCCCGTCAAGTGGGCTAGTTCGCGCCACCTGGGACATCTCTGATTTGTCCATAGGTCATCTCAGGCCTGTCACTCTGACTCATCTATCACAGCAGCCACCAGGGTGGCTTTCCTGAAACACCTGACCATGTTACTTCCCTGCTTACTAAAACTCTTGATCCCTTCAAGGGACATGGCTGGTCTCATTCATTTGATCACCACTGCCCAGAACATGTGTGCCACAGGGGCGGCCTCCCTCATGACGGGTTTGGACAATGACTGTGCCTAGTGCAGCCTGATGGGGCTCTGGCTGTAAGCAGGGCAGGTGCTCCCTGTGCTTCATCATCCCGGTGACAGGGCCATTGTGACACCCCCACAGCATCTCCTCAGTTACAGGACCCTTCTGGTGTCCTGCTGGAAACCTCCAGGCCATCTGGCTCTTTCTCTCCCATTCCCACTCAACTCAGTTTGGGTTCCCTCCAGGAGACCATGACAAGGTCCTTTCTTCCCCTGTCCCGAGAGCTGCAGCAGAGGCAGGAAGAAGTGTGGGGAAAGCTGGGACCCTCTGCTGGGGTGAGCACCAGGAGCCACGCCTGACAAGCTGTTTACACCCCCCCCCCCCCCACTCCCCACCCCAGCTCCCTGCCGGAGGAGAAAGGCTGCAGCAGTTCCTCCTTCGAGACCTGCCTGAGGCCCAGGGAGAGGCAAGAGGTGGAGCCCAGGGTAACAGACTCGGAGCAGAAGAGGAGCCGCGCTCGGGAGCGCAGACGGGAGGGGCGCTCTAAAACCTTCGACTGGGCCGAGTTCCGCCCCCTGCAGCAGGCCCTGGCGCAGCAGAGGACCAGCACCACGGGGCCGCCCACCGCCCCACCTGAGGCAGAGCCTGGAGAGCTGGAGCGGGAGCGGGTGCGGAGGCGGGAAGAACGCCGCAAGCGCTTTGGTATGCTGGACACTGTGGACGGGCCAGCTTCTGATGACACGGCCTTGAGGATGGAGGTTGATCGGAGCCCAGGCCTGCCCGTGATCCCCGACTTCAAGACCCAGAATGTACATGTGGAGATCGAGCAGCGGTGGCATCAGGTGGAGACCACTCCTCTCCGGGAAGAAAAGCAGGTGCCCATTGCCCCTCTGCACCTGTCCTCCTCAGAGGACAGAAGTGACCAGCTCTCCACTCACGAGCTGACCTCTCTGCTGGAGAAGGAGGTAACGACCGTGGGGTGGACGGGTGGGTGGGTTCCATGCAGCAGCCTTTCCTGAGCGCCTCACTGTGCCTGGTGGTGGCCTGCGTGGTTTAGCTGCACAGCACTGAGGGAGACGTCCTCTCTGCCCCAGGTGCTTGCAGATCATTCAGGAAGGTAAACACACAGACAGGCAGGTTCTTACAGTGTGGTCGCTGAGAGGCTCAGGGAGTGCCGCCTGGCAGGGAGGGGCTCTGGGCCTTTCTAGGACAGAGCCGTTTGCGTTAGAGTCCGGTGGCCAGAGGAGAAGCTGGCAGGGTTACAGGGCCCAGGTTAGGGCCTTGTCTCCCCTGTTTTCAGTGTGAACCAGAGATTTGAGAAGGGAAAGGAGCATGAACAGAGTTGGCTGTGACCTGCACCAGGTCGCTCTGGGTCAAGCAGGCCAGCTGGACGCAGAGCAGAGCGCCAGGACTTTCCCAGCAGCCTATGGAGGAGACCTGAGGGCAGGGCAGGCAGCAGGAAGCAGGTGGTTCTAGATGCTCGAGATACAAAACAGGGCCTTGGGCCCTGACCGGTTTGGCTCAGTGGTTAGAGTGCCAGCCCGTGGACCAAAGGGTTGCAGATGTGATCCCTGGTCAAGGGCACATGCCTGGGTTGCAGGTTCAATCCTCAGCCCTGGTTGGGGTTATGCAGGAGGCAACCAATTAATGTGTCTCTCTCCCTCCCTCCCTCCCTCCCTTCCACTCTATCTTTTTTTTTTTTTTTTATCCTCACCCGAGGACATTTTTCCATTTTTTGTTCAGGTAGAGTGGGGGGGAGAGAGAGGAACAGAGAGAGAGAGAGAAACATCGATGTGAAAGGAACACATCAAGTGGCTGCCACCCGCACAACCCAACCAGGGCCGGGGACAAACTGCAACTGAGGTACGTGCCCTTAGCGGGAACCGAACCCGGGTCTCTCAGGACCGCAGGCCGACGCTCTAACCACTGGGCCAAACCGGCCAGGGCCCTTCCACTCTATCTTTAAAAAAAAAAAAAAAAATAATGGAAAAATATCCTCAGGTGAGGATTAATAACAACAAACAAAGGCCCTTGGTGGGTGAGCAGTTGAAAGATGCCCTGTAACTCATTTGGCACGGGCTGCACTGCAGGGGCTGTTTGCAGAGCAGGCCCTCTAGGCATTCAGATGCAGAGATGAGTAAGTCAGCTCCTGCATCTGTAGCATGTGTTTCTTCATGAAACATATCCAGAAATCAAACCTGGGGAACTTCCACAGTAGTTTGTAAGTCTGAACAGGGAGTTCCTGACCAAGGAGGTTCAGCATTACATTTCCACATTTCACGTGTGTTCTTCACATGAGCAACTAATAAGGGTTTGTCACTTTGGTCTGCCTCACTGCTGATTTTTTCCCTTAGCTGATTAAATTCATGAGGCTGACATTTATCACTAGCGTCAAACACTTTGATTTTATTTCTACTTTCTATGCCTGGTGATAAGATAGTAAAGGCAAGATGCAATAAATAACAGTTCAAACTCATATTCCTCTAAGCTGCCAAAACAGGCCTGCTGGCCAGCAGGCCACGCACTGAACCGTAAGTTTGTTTTAAACAGCAGTGTCTGAAAGTCAGGGGTCTCCGTGCCTCTTACAGCAGTCCTGGCAGGTTCCTGGCCGTCGACTGTGCTCCGTCTCCCTGCTCACCACAGCCTCTGGGGTTCAGGCAGGCAGAGTGGCCCACATGGCCCGCATCTAGGCACCTAGGAAATAGGGAAGAAGTAAGTGCATGACTGACAGAATTCAAAGCCATTGAAAGCAAGAGGAATGTGAAGCAGCTTCCACATCTCATGGAACCCTTCGGGAACCCTCTTTGCAAACAGTTTTATGTGGCATCCGTTGTAGCAAAGTGGAGTTGTTGCAGTGGAAGCCAAGGCAAGGGCTGTCTGACCATGCTGAGGAAACCAGAGCTCGTTTCCTGGTGGGCGTGCAGAGGCCGCCTGCCCTGTTACTTGTGTCTCTCACAGCTGGAGCTGCCACTAAGGGCCAATCAGCGCATCCCTGACCTGTGGGCGTGTGCAAGGCCAGGGAGGAGGCCATGCTCTCAGCCCAGCTGGTGTCAAAAATGCCACCGTGGGCCTCTACCATGCTGCTGACTCTGTTACCATCATTTTGCTAAAAGATGTGTGTCTTTTTGTCAACAGTTGGAGCAGAGCCAGAAGGAGGCCTCGGACCTTTTGGAGCAGAACCGAGTCCTGCAGGACCAGCTGAGGGTAGCTCTGGGCCGAGAGCAGAGTGCCCGGGAGGGCTACGTGCTGCAGGTAGGGCTGGGGGGCTACCGGCGCACGAGACACACTCGGGGTTCCGTGTGAAGGGCCTGGCAGGCTAGGAGTGTGCAAAGCCTGCCTGAGCAGGGGCAGCCTCTCCCACGTGCCACCCGCTGGGCTCCTCCGCCACAGGACTGCGCGCTCTGTGCCATGGGCCATGTGTGTCTCTCTCCTCCTAGTGTTCCATTCTGGGGGATCTGCCTGCAGCTTCTGTCTAAGGTTTTTTTCTGTTTGTTTTTAGTACAATAATTGTGGTGGTTTTTTTTCTTTTGGCTCTCAATGTAGTCCAGTATACATTTATTATAAATACCATACATTTGCATGTCATTGTAATCGTTTTTACAGGCCAAAAGCAGTGTTCGGCCTGTTCCGCACATGGAAGAGATTGAGGAACAGCCAGCCGAGTGCCTCCTGAGGATCGAGTTAGCGCAGAATAGCTGTGTGTCCCTGTCCCTGCCTATCTCTACACACCTCCAGGCAGGCTCCTGACCCCAGTTCTGTCTTCTGCCTAGACTGAAGTTTTGGGGAAACGTCATCGCCCACCCCTGAGCCAGCCCACACAGCCCAGAGAGGAGATGAGGCCACAGCCAGGTCGTCAGCTGAGAACCCAAACCCAGTGTCCACAACCAGAGCTCTGCCACAGTCCTGGTCAGCAGGCAGGTCCACAGACAGCTGTGGGCTCTCTGACCTCAGCATTGTAGGCCCTGTTCTGTTCTGGGCACATGAGTACCGTGGAGTAACATGCTAGTGGAGAGACGACGGGCAGATGCGTGCTGGGTAAAAGCAGGATGGGGTGATGGAACAGGGCTCTGCCAAGGCTGAGGACCCAGCTCTCAAGGCAGGTCCTGGGTCCAAGTACAAGCACTGACTGGCCAGCAGAAGCCAGTGTCCCCTCCCCCACAGCACTAGCTCCTCCTTGCCATGTAGACTCAGACCTTGTCCCCAGGGCTCTACCAGCTCTCCGTGACCCGAGTATATGAATAGTTGCTGTGTCAGCATTTCCAGACCACCATGCCTTGGCTGCCTCCGTCCACGTGGTCCAGGGCCGCACTGAACCCTCTGGGCAGCCTGCCTTCCTGTCCTGTCCGTGCCATCGCTGATGCATGTTCCCTCTGCCTTCTCTTTCTTTCACTTCTCTCCCCAGCTTCCTCTGCGGCCTCGGGTGCCCTGGTGCCCTGTGCCGCCTCCTCAGCCCTTTCAGCTGTGGTTCTTGCTATGCCCAGTTCAGACTCTCAGACACCAGGAGCTGGGGATGGGGCGTTCCCTTGTTGCACACAGCTCACTGGGCTTGCTGTCATGTGTGTGGACCCTCCAGATTTGGTTGGGCCCCATCCTGCGCAGACCCACTTCACAGCAGGCGGTGAGGGTGCGCACAGCAGGGTCTGCACATTGCTGGCCTGGAGCCTCTCTCCATGTCTCACTGGGGTGACGGCAGGGCTGCTTCTGAGCGCCTTGCTGCGGGGTCTGACAGTGGGCTGCTTTCCAAATCCTGGTTGCTCGGGGGGAGCAGGGGCCTGTGGGACAAAGGGTCAGAGGAGTCTGCCTGGGATGGCGCTGTGGAATTGCTGGGAGGAGGAGCTTGCTGGGAGGCGTAGCTGTGCTGTGGAGTGTAACTTAGTAACGTAACTGAGTGTCACATCTGTGGCTTCCCCAGCAGACCGAGGGGGGCCGCTAACAGGCCAAATTCTTAGGCTGGGCTGTTTTCACTTTTGTTCGTGTTCTTGTTGTTTTCCACATGATTAGTTCTGTCTATTCTGCATGCTTTTCTTTTTGGGGAGTTCTGTTTCATTTGTGTTTTGTTTTGCATGCTTCACTTTCTCGTTTTGAATTCCACAAAGGTTTGTTTTGTTGATGATCATATTTTACTCCATGGTTTCGTTTCCCCTTGTTTTGTCTTCTTACAGGTAGAGATTAGTTCTTCCTGTTACTGTAGAGGACGAGCTCCACTTCCAAAAGGAGACTGTGGGTGTCACCTCGCTGACATTCCCGAGCAGCTGCCTCCCTTCCTTCTTTCCCTGTTCTAGAAGGAAGTGACGTCACCACCCGCACCCTCCGTCCTGTGCTTTTTTAGGGCTGATTGTCTAGAGCTGTGTATCTTTTGTTTGTAAAACAGACGATGCCCCAGCTCTGCTCCCCTCCTTCCTACCCTCTTGTCTCCAGTCTTTGTTTGCTTACCCGTGTGTTTCATTGTTCGGTTTTGTTTGGTTTACTTCTCCTAGAAGCTATTCGATTAGAGTTGTTTTGATGCTATTATCCATGTTTTCTGTTTATCTGGAAGCAGCACTTATCAAAATATTTTTTTTAATGAAAAAAAATTGTGCAAAGGATAAAAGTCAAATCCACCAAGGAACTTTTCTGTGGTTGACCCTGGCCAGAGGTGTGACACTCAGAACTGGGAAGCCCGAGTGTTACTAACCAGTGTTTAATCGGTTTTTTTAAGACTGAAGTGGCCACCTCCCCATCTGGTGCCTGGCAGAGGCTCCACAGAGTCAACCAAGATGTGCAGAGGGAGCTGGAGGTGCAGTGCCGGCGCCAGGGGCTGACCACGCAGCAGACCCAGGCCCTGAAGCGCAGCTACGGGGAGGCCAAGGATGCAGCCCGGCACCACGAGGCCGAGACCCAGAGCCTCCAGGCAAGGCTCAGCAGTGCTGCTGCTGAGCTCACCATCAAGGAGCAGGCGCTGGCCAAGCTCAAGGGAGACCTGAAGCTGGAGCAGGACAAGGCCCGCGAGCACTGGGAGGAGTGGCAGCACAGCAAGGCCGCGCTGAGCGGTCAGCTCCAGGCCAGCGAGCAGAAGCTCAAGAGCGCCGAGGCCCTGCTGCTGGAGAAGACTCAGGAGCTGCGGGACCTGGAGATGCAGCAGGTGCTGCAGAGGGACCGGCAGAAGGAGGTGCAGAGACTACAGGAGCGCATTGCCGACCTCAGCCAGCAGCTCAGTGCTAGCGAGCAGGCCCAGAGGCTGATGGAGGAGAAGCTGCAGAGGAACTATGAGCTACTGCTGGAGAGCTGCGAGAAGGAAAAGCAGGCGTTACTGCAGAACCTGAAGGAGGTGGAGGACAAAGCCAGCGCCTACGAGGACCAGCTCCAGGACCATGAGCAGCAGATGGAAGTCCTCCAGAAAGAGAAGCTGAGTGCCAACTTCGAGGGCAGTCAGGTGGTGCACCAGCTGGAGGAGCAGCTGCAGGTGAAGGAGGCCAGCATCCAGACGCTGGCCCAGCATGTCCAGAGCCTCCGAGACGAACGGGACCTGATCAAGCAGCGGTTCCAGGAGCTGATGGAACGCATCGTCCTGTCGGACGGGGATGTTGCTGAACTTCAGGAGAAGCTGAGGGGACGAGAGGCCGACTACCAGAGCCTGGAGCACTCCTACAGGAGCGTGGCGAGCCAGCTCCAGGGCATGCACACTCTGCTGAGAGAGAAGGAGGAAGAGCTGAAGCGCATCAAGGGAATGCACGAGAAAGTTCTGGAAAAGAAAGATCAGGACCTCAATGAGGCTTTGGTTAAAATGGTTGCCTTGGGGAGCAGCTTAGAGGAAACAGAAATGAAGCTCCAGACAAAGGAAGAGATTTTAAGGAAGGTCGCACAGGCACCTTCAGAGGAAGAGGAGCCGCAGAGCCCCCTGGAAGGAGCGGAGGGCAGAGCCTCACTTTTGGGCCCACAGCTCCAGTCTTTGGGCGCCCCTCCTAGCTTCCCACACGTGAGGCTCGAGGATGAGGACCCCGGAGCTGCCCCGCGGGAGAAGCACGGGCACAGCAGCCCGAGGAGAGAAGCGAGCATGACGCCCCCGAAGTCAGAAACGCCTGACAAGGAGGGTCACTTGAAGAACACAGCCAAGTTTGAGCAGGGTGCACCCAGTGTTAAAAGACAAAGAATTCGGTTCTCCACAATCCAGTGCCAGAAGTACGCCCACCCCGATGGGTCTGAGAAGACCTGGGCCAGCAGCACATCCTCTGACACCAGTCAGGACCGGTCGCCCTCCGAGGAAAGTATGTCATCAGAGGCCACCCTCAGCTCGCTCCCTGCCACCAGCGACTCCGACACCTACCTCTCCATCATACATTCCTTGGAGACGAAGCTCTACATCACAGAGGAGAAGCTGAAAGATGTGACAGTGAAACTGGAGAGCCAGCAGGGCCAGAGCCAGGAGGCTCTGCTCACGCTGCACCGGCAGTGGGCTGGCACCGAGGCACAGCTACGCGAGCAGCTCCGCGCCAGCCTGCTCCAGGTCGGCGCACTGGCCTCCCAGCTGGAGCAGGAGAAACACGCCAGGGCGAAGATAGTTGAAAACCACGTAGGGGAGCTTGGCAACTTCCAGGTCAAAAACACTCAGGCCCTGGCTTGCTTAGAAAATTGCCGAGAACAGCTACGATCTCTGCCAGGGTCTGGCCAGGAGGAAGCACAGGAGGCAGGAGCAGGCCCCCTCGCCAGTGTGGAGAGCGTGCTGGTCAACGCCATCCAGGCCCTGCGTCACTGGCCAGCCCCTGCAGACAGCGGGATCCAGGCTAAGCTTGAGGAAGGGGTTCCCTCGGAGGAAGGGGAAGAGGCCTCGCAGCAGCTGCCTCGCCAGCCTGAGCTGACCGAGCAGCAACAGCTGCAGGTCCTTTCTGATCAGATCGCTCTGGAAGCCTCACTGATCAACCAAATAGCAGACTCTTTAAAAAACACAACATCAGATATCTCGCACGTTCTCCATGAGATTTCTCAGTCAGGAAAGTTGCCCCTGGAGGCTGGAAGTGCCACGGTCTGTCTGGGGGCCCCAGCGGAAACCTGGGCTAAGAAGGTGCTGGTGGATGGTGAATTTTGGAGCCAGGTCGAGTCCCTGAGTAAGCACCTGGAGATGGTTGGGGGCGAGGCAGCCGGCACACCGGGAGGCGGGCAGCAGCGCATCCCACAAGCCCTGGTCCCTGCCCTGGCAGACGCTACGTGGGTCCGGGCAGAGCTCAGCTTTGCTGTGCAGTCAGTGAGGGAGTCATTCCACCGCAGGTTGCAGAGCATCCAGGAGACTCTCCGGGGGACTCAGGCAGCCTTACAGCAGCACAAGCACATGCTGGGGGAAATCCTGGGAGCCTACCAAACCCCTGACTTTGAGAGAGTGATGCAGCAGGTCTCAGAGGCCCTCCGGCTTCCAGCAGGCATTGCAGATGGCACCCAGGCACCCTGGGACTTGAGCCTCTTAGGAGAAGAACTGAGTCATCAAGACACAGCTGGCTCCCAGGAGCCCTTGCACTTGTCCGACCAGAGCTCTGGGGCCCTCGTTGCTATTCAGGAAGAACTCGCCCTGCAGCTGAAAGATAAAGCCAGCCTCTTGGGAGAGATAGCCGCCTCTTTAACTTCTCTCGCCCCTGTGGAATCGGTAAGAGACTGTCAAAAGCTTCTTCAGGTGTCCCGGAATCTTTCCTATAACACTTATTTTGGAGGCCTTGGTCAGTATTCTTCATTATTAGTTAAAGACGCAATTATCCAGGCTCAGGTGTGTTACGCAGCCTGCAAAATCCGGCTGGAGTATGAAAAGGAGCTTCAGTGCTACAAGGAGTCCTGTCAGAGCAAGGGCGCCTCCTGCCAGGAGCACGAGCAAGCTGTCGGAGCCCTGCGGGAGGAGTACAAAGAGCTTCTCCGGAAACAGAAGAGCGAGTACCTGGAGGTGATTGCCATCGTTCAAAGGGAAAATGCAGAGCTCAAGGCCCAGGTTGCCCAGCTGGATCAGCAGCAGAGGTATCTGGAAGAAGTGGAGAGCAAGCACAGCGAGAACATGTCTGCATTGCAGGGGCGGTACGAGGAGGAGATCAGGTGTGTGGTGGAACAGCTGAGCAGAGCAGAGGACACACTGCAGGCCGAGCACAGTCGTGTGCTGAGCCAGCTGGACGCCTCCCTCAGGGACAGGCAGCACATGGAGAGGCACCATGTGGAGCAGGTGCAGACCCTGGAGGACAAGTTCCAGCTCAAGGTCAAAGAGCTGCAGACCATCCACGAGGAAGAGCTGAGGACCTTGCAGGAGCACTACTCCCAAAACCTGCAGTGCCTGCAGGAAACCCTCTGCCACTGCCAGGGGCAGCCCCCAGGGGCCCTCCTGGCCAGCAGCCCCCACCAGCCCACTTTCTCCACCTGGCCAGCTGACCAGCCCCAGGATGCTCTGCAGGTGGCCAGTGGGGAGGCCGACTCCATGACAGGGCTGAGAGAGCGCATCCAGGAGCTGGAGGCTCAGATGGACGTCATGCGGGAGGAGCTGGAGCACAAGGACCTGGAGGGCAATACGGCCACGTTGCGAGAGAAGTACCAGAAAGACTTTGAGAACCTCAAGGTTTTGAAGCATCGTTTAATTTGCAAAATGGTTGAGAGGCAGGCGTTTTCCTGCTCGTTGGGAGGTGGTTTCTGGTGCATTAGACCCTGGGTGGAGCCAGGAGACAGTTTTCGGCCCTGAGTTACTGGATAAGCAGAATCTGTTCAACATTCCACCCCCTCCTCGACTCCCTGCTCACCATGGTGTGGCCTCAGAGCAGGGCCCGCGTTAGGGTCTGGCGTCCTATTTCACATCCCCACCAGGAAAGAGGACAACAGAACAGGATCACTGGCGAGAGAGGGAGTGTCGTCTCCCCGTCGCCTTCCCACCAATTTCTGGAAGCCTCTCTGCTCCCTCTCACCGCCCCTCACAACCTCACCCTTTTTCCTGCCCCAGCAGAACCCACCTCCAGGCTGATGCAAACCCACACTGGAGGACGAGAGCCTGGGGTAGACGGGCCAGAGGCACCCTTGGAGGGCTGTCTCGTAACTTGTAGGAGAGCAGGGTGTGGGGTTCTCAGAGATAGGAATGTTTACAGGACAGTGTGAGAGTCGCTCTCCCATTCCCACCCCGGGGAGCTGGCATTTAGTGGGCATCCTAGGTAAGGAATGTAAGAGCACAACTTCCAGCTGCTGGCCCTCCTCAGGGGCTTTGAGAAATACCTCTCCTCATCACTGTTCCCCACACCCCTGCCCTGTTTCACATTCTGCCTCATTGGGCAGAACACTCAGGCCCTGGCACTCAAAGGTAACAACAGTTCAGGGCCCAGATGCCAGGTGTGTGAAGTGGCCCCGCTCCTCACCTACCCCTTTCATAACCAGAGACACCGTGTGTGCACATGGCTGCCCAGAATGCTCCCTAAGCGTCTCAGTGTCACCCTCTTGAGCTACTCACCATCGCATGGAGCTGTACCCAGTAAATGCCCAGGTCCCTCGCAAAACCTTAGTCCCCAGGCAAGCCTGGGGTGAGCTGCCCCCCCCACCCCCCCCACCCCCCGTGCGGCACAGAGCCGACCCCCAGCTCTGCTGTGTTGCCAGACACTGAGCTGATGCTGCTGTCCAGCAGGACACCATGGCTTTCCTCGGGCAGCTCACTCCTCCAGCTCTGAGGGAGGAAGAGGACTGTGCTTCATGTCAGCAGTGTGTTCTTTATGTGACAACACAGCCCCCACCAAAGACACGCGTGTGGGTGCCAGCAAGCACTCGGGTGGCCAAGAGACCATCTTCACTGTTCTTGGCCTTTTGAAAACCATTATGAATCATGGGAAAACTTCAAGGGCTGTTTTCCGAAAGAGCCCAGCTGATGCCCCGTGGCAGTCAGGGCACAGCATCCAGACGGGGCTTCAGAGGGTCGGCACAGACAAGGCCCTAGTGCCTCCCCACCCGCAGGACCCCACAGCTTTTCCCAGCACCCGCCAGGTCTGTGCAGACGGTGCCTGGGCTTATGTGCATCCCAGGTTCCCAGGGGCCCGCGTGCTCCCCCTCCAAAGTGAGCTGCTTCCTGTCTGTTCCACACAAGTCTCTTGTACAGCCAGGCAATTTCAGCTCCCACGCCGGTCAGCTGGGCATAGATGAGGCTTTGACCAGAGTAGCGACATCAGACCACTAGTTAGCAAGACGTCAGAGAGGAGAGTACTGCCTTGTGTTGACACTGGCCACAGATGGTGCTGGGACCCAGTGTCCCCACTGGTGACATAAGTCCACGGTGTTCTTGTCGACACCCTTGAGACACACAGAAATTACAGCCATACCACACTCGAGTGGTCCCCCTAGTGCTATTACTTTGTGTTTGCCCAGGTTGGGGAGATGGGTCCGGGCCTCGGCTCCTGTGCTGTAGCCACAGGCTGGTGATGCCTTCCCTCGTGATTCTGCACAGTCATCACTGAGGAACTTCCATTGGTCCCAGGGGTTATTGCTTAAACATTAAAATTTGTCTACAGATTATTTTTTTAGCACATACACTCTCCAAGGAAGCAGCCGGTCTTTAAAGATACCTCAGAGATTCTGTAGTGTTGACCCTCATTTAAATATTCTAAAGCATTCAAATCACACTAGTACTTACAAGCCGCCCGCTGTGTGTTGACCGGGAAGCCGTATGTGAACCAAGCCCATGGTTGGGGATGGTGGGCTCTGTATGGGGAGGGTCCAGGAGCCACTGCTCCGGGTTCCTCCTGCTTCCAGATGGAACCTTTGGGAGAAATGATGCCCAGTTCATGGTGAACACAGTCAAGCTCAGACACCCAGTGCAACAAATCTGTTGCAGTGAAGTCCAGACTAGGACCATGAGTTTGAAAACACTGAATTGAGGACGTCAAAAATGCCTCACATTACTGTGAGGCTCAGATACCAGGCATGGCGATCTGGTTTCTTGGCATCTTTTTTCTTGAATCCATGTGCAAGAGGACTGACCAAATAGTACAGGGCTGGGAGGGGGAGCCCTCACTTGCATTTGGAATGTAATATGGCCACATTCTTCCAGCTTTTAAAAATCACCGAAAGGCCTGATCCCTAGTTAAAAACAGATTTTGCAAAGAACTTAGAAAGTGTGACTCGTGTACAGAACAGTTGCGCATACCTCCTTGCGTCTGTGGCACACTCACCCGCCCTGCTGGCGAGAGCAGCTGGTCAGCCAGGCCTGGACACCCCGGTGTAGCTGTGTGCAATGGCCTGGCCCCTCTTAGGACATGCCTGTGTCCTCCTGTGCTCATGTCCAGGTAATAGCCAACTTAAGTTATAACAGGGCATAGACAAGTTTGGAGAGCAGTTTCTCTGTCATATGTCCCAGTGTAGTTACTGGAGGCACTAATTACTGCCCCTCTGTGCTCCTTCAAAAGAAGAGGGTGGAGGACACTGGCTGGGAGGGAAGAGCTTGTACAGCCCCCTGTGGACACCAGAGAGGTTGAAGGATCAGGTGAGGGTGGCTGACTAGTCAGTGGCAGGGCCAGGCCCCTTAGAGTCCCCAGTCCAGAGTCCTGACTGGGACATTTGTGAAAGGCCTGGTTTGTGATGCACTGAGTGCTCCTCACTGTGTGAGCTCAGACCAGACACGGCCAGCCTCTGCACACTCACTCTTCTCCCTTGTGTCCATCCTACCTGGCAGTAGTTCTGTTGTGGTCCAGGGTTGGCCATTTTAGATCCCACTGCAGCCTCTTCCCTCCCACAAGACCAATTCTTTCCACAGGAAGTAAGACCCTTTATAGATGTAGACACCCTTTCTAAGTGCTCTCACAGCATAACATGCCCAGTGGCATCGGTGAGATTCTGCACAGACGGCTCTCAGGTGACCCGCTGGCTTAGTGCTCCCCTTCAGAGAGCGTGCTCTGCCCCAGGGCCTGAGAGCAGACGGGCACTGGCTTATTAGATAGGACACCTGACGTGGCAGTAAATAAATAAGTTGATAAAGTTCCTTTCGCATCTTGCAGGCCACATGCGAACGAGGGTTTGCAGCGATGGAGGAGACGCACCAGAAGAAGATTGAAGATCTCCAGAGGCAGCACCAGCGGGAACTGGAGAAACTGCGCGAGGAAAAAGACCGTCTCCTGGCCGAGGAGACCGCAGCCACCATCTCAGGTGGAAGCTGGGCGTGGTGGCTGGGTTAGCCCAGAGGGCAGGACAGGTGGAAGACTCCTGAGCTGGGTGTGCACTTCACAGGAATGACCGGTCTTGGTGCTGTCTTTTGGTTGAGGTTTAAGCTTCATTATCTAAAAAAATTTTATTTTGTTTTTTAATGCAGTTGACTAGTTTATGTTAGTTTCAGCTGTATCTCATCGTAGTTAGATAATCATACACGTTACACAGTGTCCCCCTCATATTTCCACTACCCACCTGGCACCATACGTAGCAATTACAGTATTACTGACTACTCCCTGTGCTGTACCTTACATCCCCATGACTATTTTGTAACTACCAAGTAGTATTTCTTAATCTCTTCACCTTTTTCACCCAGTCCACCAACACCCTCCACTCTGGCAACCTTCCATCTGTTCTCTGTATGAGTCTGTCTCAATTTTGTTTATTTATTTTGTTCTTTAGATTCCACATATAAGTGAAATCATGGTATTTCACTTTCTCTGACTAACTTATTTCACTGAGCATAATACTGTCTGGGTCCATCCACGCTGTCACAAATAGTAAGCTTTCATTTTTTCTTACAGCGGAGTGATAATCCACTGTGTACATGTACCACAGCTTTTTACCCACTCATCTGTTGAGGGCACTTGGTTGCTTCCACATCTTGGCTGTTGTAAATAGTGCCGCAGTGACCATAGGGTACATCTGTTCTTCCCAGTAAGTGCTCTGGATTTCTTAGAGTTATGCCCAGAAGTGGGATCACTATGTTATAAGAAAGTTACATTTTTCATTTTTGAGGACCCTTCATACTGTTTTCCGTAGTGGCTGTAGCAGTCTGCATCCCACCAACAGTGCACAGGGGTCCTTTCCCCACATGCTTGCCAGCTCCTATTGTTTGTTGATTTATTGATAACCATTCTGACAGGTGTGAGGTGGTATCTCATTGTGGTTTTGATGAGCATTTCTCTTATGATTAGTGACACTGAGCATGTTTTCATATGTCTATTGGCCATTTGTATGTACTGTTTGGAGAAGTGTCTGTTCAGACACTTTTTTTTAACTGGTTTGATTTTGAAGGTTGAGTTGTATGCGTTCTTTATAAAATTTTGGATGTTAACCCCTTATCAGATGTATCGTTGGCAAATATCTTCTCCCATTCAGTAGGTTGTCTTCATTTTTTAAGACTATTTTATTTATTTATTTATCTTCATCCAAGAATATGCTTGTTGATTTTTTTTTGTTCAGAGAGAGTGGGAGGGAGAAAGGAGAGAGAGAAAGAGAGAGAGAGAGAGAAACATTGATGTGAAAGGGACACATCGAGTGGCTGCCAACCGCACGACCAACCAGAGCCAGGGACAAACTGCAACCAAGGTACACGACCTTAGTGGGAACTGAACCAGGGTCTCTCTGGACCACAGGCCGATGCTCTAACTGCTGAGCCAAATTGGTCAGGGCGCTTATTGATTTTAGAGAGAGAGAGAAACATCAATGTGACAGAACATCATTTGGTTGCCTTCCATGCATGCCCTAACTGATGATCAAACCCACAACCTTTTGGTATATAGGACAACTCTCCAACCAACTGAGCCACACAAGCCAGGGCCATATATATATATATATATATATATATTTTTATCCTCACCCAAGGATATTTCTTCATTGATTTTTAGATAGGTGGAAGGGAGAGCTTAGATAGGTGGAGAAGGGGGTGGAGGTGGGGAGAGAAACATTGATGTAAGAGAGAGACATCAATTGGTTGCCTCCCACACAGGGCCAGGGATCAACCTGTAACTCAGATCCGTGCCCTTGACTGGAATCAAACCCATGCGCCTTTGGGCTGTTGGCTGACACCCTAACCGCTGAGCCAAACCAGCCAGGGCTGTTTTTTCATTTTTCAATTACAATATTATGTACAATATTACATTAATTTCAGGTGTACAGCCTCATGATTAGACATTTATATAACTTATGAAGTGATCACCCCAATAAATGTAGTACCTGTCTAATACCATATATACTTATTACAATGTTATTGACTGTACTCCCTGCTATACTCTATGTCCCTATGACTATTCTGTAGCTACCGATTTGTACTTCTTAATCCCCTCACCTTTTTCACCCATTCCCCAACCCCCAACCTCCCTCCTATCTTGGCTACCATCGGAATGTTCTCTGTATCTGAGTCTGTTTCTGTTTGCTTCTTTTGTTTTTTAGATTCCACATATAGGTGAAATTATATGGCATTTGTCTTTGTCTGACTTATTTCATTTGACACAATAACCTCTAGGTCCATTCATGTTGTTGCAGATGGTAAGATTTCATTTATTTATGTATTTTTATGGCTGAGTCACATTCATTGTATATATGCACCACTTCTTTATCCATTCATTCATCCGTCCATGTTGGACACCGAGGTTGCTTCCATAACTTGGCTATTGTACGTAATGTTGCAGTGAACATAAGGATGCTTATGTCTTTTCATTTTTGTGTTTTGGGTTTCTTTCGACCCAGAGTGTTCAGATTTTCTGTTCTTCTTGATTCAATTCTGCAAGATTGTGTTTCTAGGAATCAGTCCATTTCTTCCCTGTCTCATTTGTTGGCATGCAGTTATTTGTGATATCTATTTTTAATTCTTTGTATTTCTGTAGTTCCAGCTGTTACTTCCCTTTCATTTCTAATTTTATTTGGGTCATCTGTTTTTTTAATGATGAATCTGGTTAAAGGTTTATCAATCTTGTTTATCTGTTCATAGAACCAGCTCTTGGTTTCCTTGGTCCTTTTTTTTTTTTTTTTTATCTTCGCCCAAGGACATTTTTCCATTTTTTGTTCAGATAGAGTGGGAGGGAGAGAGAGAAACATCGACGTGAAAGGGACACATTGAGTGGCTGCCACCCGCACGACCAACCAGGGCCGGGGACAAACTGCAACCAAGGTACACGCCCTTAGCGGAAACCGAACCTGGGTCTCTCTAGACCGCAGGCCAACACTCTAACCACTGAGCCAAACCGGCCAGGGCAGGTCCTTTTTTTTAATATTGAATTTATTGGGATGGCATTGGTTAATAAGATTATATAGGTTTCGGGTATAATATTCTACAATACATCGTCTGTAGTCATGGATCTTTTTGTATTGTTTCTTTGTTCGAGCTGTTTCTATTCTTTCCCCTCTGGTCTTTATTACTTTTTCTTTCTATTCCCTTTGGGCTTTGTTTATTGTTCTTTTTCTAGTTTCTGTAGGTGTAAGGTTAGATTGTGCATTTTTGAGGTAGGCGTATAATGCTTTGAATTTCCCTGTTACAATTCCATTCACTGTCCCCATAGCTTTTGGAGTGTTGTGTTTTCCTTTTCTTTGGTTTCAGGGTATCTTTTTACTTCTTTCTTGATCTTATTGTTAACCCACTATTATTTTGTAGTCACTTGTTTAGCACTCTCAGGGTTTGTCTGGCCCCAGCCTCTTAGAGCTGATGTGTGTCCTTTCCCGCAGCTATCGAAGCCATGAAGAATGCCCACCGGGAGGAGATGGAGCGCGAGCTGGAGAAGAGCCAGCGGTCCCAGATCAGCAGCATCAACTCGGACATCGAGGCCCTGCGGCGGCAGTACCTGTAAGTCAGTGTCCCGCCCTTGGGTGTCTAGACGTGGCCCTTTGGGTGGAAGTGGTGCATTTCTTGTGTTTCTGTAGGGGCCACACAGGTGCAGGTCCTGATGGTGGCCTTGGTGGGGGCCCATGGGCACTGAGGGCAGCTCAGAGCCTTTTCCCAGAGGTGCTGAGTACCCTGGAGCATCATCAGTTCCACCAGCTCCTGTGGCCCAAATGGGCTTCCTGTTACTGAAACAAAGAAAGAGAAACTAATTACTAAAATCTACAGAATAAGGTGCAGCAAAGGACATTTTATAATGACCCATTTTTAGGACTGATCTCAGGCCATCCCCAGAATGTTTCTCTCCATCAGCTGCTGCAGCCTCAGTAGCTTGTGAGGAAGGACTCTGATCCAGGGCCTGGAGCCTGCTGCTGCCTGACCGCATGGTGGAGGGGGCCCTGCTCCCTACGCTTAAACAGCATGTGTGGTGGTTCCCTCTCAGAAGAGACTGGGGGCGCACAGCAGCGTAGCAGCTGTGTGGAGTCGCACACTTGGAGCCCTTGACTAGGATGCTGCAAGAACCGTGCAGAGCCAGCCTGGACCAGGGTCTTTGCTGGAAAGAATCGCAGTCCCTGCCCCTTCTAGGGCTCCCGTTCAGTGCACTAAGAGCCAGAGCTGAGTGGAGGGCATCCTGTGGGCTGCAGTCCCACTCTTCTGGGCTAGAGGGGTGGCAGGTTTGCAGGACCCAGCAGCTTCCTTGAGGCTCCTCGTCCTTGGTGTCACCTGTGGGAGATAACGGTCCTTCTCAAGGAGTCCAGGGTGACAGAGAACAACATCGCAGGGCTTTGCTTTTTTTATGGGTGAATAGAGCCTGGTACTGGGTTATGAGATATAGATTGCCTCAAAAGTTAGTGCTGAAAACCAATTGCAAACTTGACTTCTCTCAGAAACAGGGCATTTGTTTTGGCATATGTAAAGAATTCTCTCCTGACTTCACAAGAGAAGTTTTGTCTGTGGGAGTATTAAGCTATTTGAAAGAGGAACAGGGAAGGACACAATAGATTTCTGTAAATCCAGAGTACTTTCTAAGTTTCCTCTTATGTGGCTGGGCACAGCTTGCCAATACAGCAGCATGCCTGGGGCCTGCACTCTGCTGCTCAGCAGCTCTGCTGTCCTCTCCTCCCTGGCGCTCCGCAGTGGGGACACGGCCTTTCCAAGGCCTGGCCTGGGGAGGGCAGAGGCCTGAGCAGTGCCCTCTCCCCAGGGAGGAGCTGCAGTCGGTGCAGCGGGAGCTGGAGGTGCTCTCGGAGCAGTACTCACAGAAGTGCCTGGAGAACGCCCACCTGGCCCAGGCGCTGGAGGCTGAGCGGCAGGCCCTGCGGCAGTGCCAGCGCGAGAACCAGGAGCTCAATGCCCATAACCAGGTGAGCCCACGGCCAGGCTGGCCCCGACTCCCTGCAGGTTCCCCCAGTGTGCCGGCAGACTCCCTGCAGGTCCCCCCAGTGTGCCGGCAGACTCCCTGCAGGTCCCCCCAGTGTGCTCGCTGCAGGCAGGAGTCTGGGGCCCTCTGGCTGCGTGAACCGCTGTTCACATTAGGCCTGTAAGATGACTCGGCTTTCCTCCTGAGCATCTGAGTTTCTGCTCCGTCATTGCTGGGCCGGGCCTGTGAGGTCAGCACACTCTCTCTGGGGTCTCCCACCCCAAGGCTGGAACTGTGTTTACATATCTCCCAGTCAAGATCACACATTGCTTACATTTATTTTTGTCAGAGTATTCTCAAAACTGGCCTGCTTCTCAGAAAATTGGGATGCATTTGAAACCCTGGTTGATGGACAGGCTGGGCGCGGGTCTGGTGTGACAGAGGCTCTGTGAGCACCAGCTCGGGCTCCTCCCCAGCACCGAGTGGACGTGTTGGCCTGGCTCAGCCTCAAGGCCTCCACAGGCCACGGCCACCCCGGAGGAGGGCACTCCGGCAGGACTGCTTCCCCTGAGCTACTGCAGTTCTTCAGGTGGCTGTCTGTTGGGAAGAAGGCACGGAAAGTGAGCAGGAGGGCTGACCCTGCAGAACTCAAAGGCACAAACCCTGACGCCCAGTAACACTCCTCACAGTGATGGAAAGGTGTTGAGGATGGTGGAATCCTGCGTGCACCGTTCTACAAAGTGCTTCAGAGCCCTCGCTGACGCTTTTGTAGGGACATGAATTGCAGGTGGTTACACCTGCACATGTCAGATCTGAAATGCAGTAATGGGCACTGCTCACAGCTGCCTGTGCCTGCTCACTTCTGCCCAGTGTGGTGAGAAAGCCACTTCTCTCGGTTGTATTGTGTGGTTGCAGCCTCCAAGAATCTCTGTTGAGTGTCCCTGTTTTGTTGTTGCTTTCCCCAGGAGCTGAACAACCGCCTGGCTGCGGAGATCGCACGGTTACGGACACTGCTGACCCGGAACACTGATGGGGAGGCTGCTGGCTCGCCTCTCACACAGGGCAAGGATGCCTACGAGCTAGAGGTACCACTCGCAGCCAGCCCTCCCTCCACCCAGCTCTGCGCTGCACCAGTCCCAAGTGGGGTCTAGGAGTGGCCCACAGCTTACAGTTGTTACAGGGCTGAGGCCTGGAGGCAGCAAGAGGGACAGAACAGAGACCCAGTCACCCTGGACAGCAAAAAAACAGCTTCCTGGCAGAATGGGACCCATGGCCGAAGAGGGGACCCCTTGAGAGCCTTGGGGACCTTTAACCCCATCCTCACTCAGTTACCCTCCTCCCCTGTTTTCTGCCACACCACAAATAGTGACCACCTAAAATGAAACATTGAATAACTATGTGGACACTATAGCTGCTTGAGATTCTGTAACACTGTATTATTCAGGACCAGGTATGCTCACCTTACGGTAGAAGGGTTGATTTCTATGTGGAAGACGTCCTTTTATGAAAGCACTTAGATTTCTTTCCATTCAACTAAAATTTCATCAAAAATGTCTCTTCCTAAGTGACGTGGAAGAGGCAGAGTGCACCCAGCAAAGGTTTCAGTGGGACATGTTCATGGACACTTTCCTGGCTCAATCCCTGAACACCGCTGTGGCCCAGGCTGCGGATGGGGGGCCTGGTCCGGGAGGGACGCAGCAGTTCTCTTCCTCCTGTTCCCACGTGGCCTGGTTAAGCTGGCAGCAGTGCTCACATTTTGTTTGCTGGCATTTTCAGTGGCACATTGGTGGGAATGAGAAGAAAAGTGCCTGCTCCTCGGCGTGTGGAGGGTTCTCTGCTCAACTTCAGTCTTTACCTTCAAGAGTCTGGGAGTCCTTTTGCTCCTGAATGTCAGTCCCTAATTACTCTCTCATTCTAGGTCTTACTGCGAGTTAAGGAATCGGAAATACAGTACCTGAAACAGGAGATCAGCTCTCTCAAGGATGAGCTACAGACGGCATTGCGGGTACGGGCACATCACTGCCAGGCAGGGCCGGGACCTCGTCTCCAGAGCTCGCAGAGGTCTCTGTGCCAGCACGTGCCTTAGGCTGTTCCAGGGATTTCTCACCAACACCAGCCTTCATGCAGGCACAGTCTCGCTGCCGCCTTTGCTCTGGCGGGATGGTGAGACCTGAGAGGAACGTCCTCCAGGACGTTCTTGGTATCAGAGGGGAAATTGCCAGTATCCTTTAGGAAATCTAAGATGGGGGTTTTCCAGGCTGAAGTCAGGGAGGCCCTGGGGGGTTAGCGGCCCCAGCCTGCTCCACGCCTGCGCTTATAGGAGCCCAGGGGTCCTGGACTGTGTTCGGAGAGTCTCATTTCTGCCTGTTGTAGTTTGTGTTCCGTTTCCACCTTTGGAAGACCAGGCAGAGTCAGCCTGCCTCCTCTTCTGCTGATGACATTCCCCAGTCAGTCCCCAGAAGTGTGCCAGCCACAGGGAGACAGACAGCCTCGCTGGGGTAACGGCTGTTTGCTCTGTCCTTCCTCCTCAAGGACAAGAAGTATGCCAGCGACAAGTACAAGGACATCTACACGGAGCTCAGCATCGTGCGGGCGAAGGCCGACTGCGACATCAGCAGGCTGAAAGAGCAGCTGAAGACAGCCACGGAAGCACTGGGTGAAAAGTCCCCTGAGAGCACCCCTGTGGCCGGATATGGTGAGCTAGCTCTTCATGCTCTGGGCCGTGGCTCAGGAACCCGGGAGGTTTGTTCATGGGGTTACTGGTACTTGAGTCAAACCAGAGAACTGATTTTTGTTTCTGATTGTAGAGTTGCATTTTCGTGCAGAGAGCAGGCAGACAGGGCTGGCTGGTGCCCTGGGTGAGGAGCTGCTCCCTGTAGGTGCACTGGCAGCTGGCACTGTGCTGACCGCTTTGAGGGGAAACCCTGCAGCCTGCACGTGTACAGTGGTGACTGGTTGCAGTGTTCCATTTTTCTAAAGAACTCGGCAGACTCACCAGTTACCAGTGGCCCGGTCCTGGGTTTCACCATGAAATCTGTAGAAGGCCATGAGAGGAGGAGGGGCCAAGGGATGCTTTCTCCTGAAAAGATGTCCTATCTCACTGATATCCAAAAAAGTGACCTTTTCCCTCTCAGCCACCAAGGGTTAATGGCAGTGGCAGTCCTGGCGAATAGGTGGAGAAGGTCCCTACGTTACTGCTGGGAGGCCGGGGACAGTATGTGGCCAGATTTAAAAATCAAAGCAGAGGCTACTCTGGGTGGGTAAAGAAATGATAACTGGCTGCTTCTGAGGGGGCTCCAGATAGTGGGGACAGTGGGAGAGGAGGACTTGGATCTGGGAGAGAATGTATACACCTGAGACTCCAGTTCACCTGAAGGAGCAAGGGCATGGAAACGCGCCGACTAGGACACAGCACTGTGTACAGGAGCAGGCTGGTTCCGCCTGGGCAGTGCTCTGCCTGCACCAAACAGGGCTGCTCACACTGGGGCGTTGCCATAGAGACACTGCACAGTCCTTGAAAGGTCGGGAGGGTGGCGTAGGTGATGCATATTCGCATTCTTCCACAACCACATCAGTCACCACCAACTACAGAACAGCCCTCATTCAGAACCGCCTGGAATCTAAGTGAGCAGAAGTCCTGTGATAAAGCTATAAAGAAGTCAGGTTGAGACATAGGGGCAGAGATGCGGAACTGTCTGGTCCCATGTCGCCGTGTGGTGGTTCAATATTGGGGTGGGGCAAGGGCTCCCCTCCCCACACCAGACCAAGCCCAGGGTTCCAGTGCTGGAAAGAGAAGTTCCTGTGACTTCTGGCTGTAAAACCAGTGGGGATTGTGGCCGAGTGAAACGGAGTCCTCTTAAAGGGCCCCATGGACTTACTCAGACTCACTCCCTCTGAGCTCCAGCATTGGGGCAGCAGCTTGAAAGGCACCAGGGACACACGAGGAGGAACTGAATTGTCTGGCTTTGGGGATATAGTTAGAAGGGTAACTTTGTCCCTTTGTCCCAGACAGAAGTGCTGATAGAAGCCACTGTTCTTTGCTTAGTGCTCCCCTCACAGAACTGGCAGGCTTGCACCATATCTGAGTCTCTTTAACTTGGCTGTTCCCCCATCCTGGTGATTTCCTAGACGCCACCCCATCTAATCTGTGAGTCTACCCAAGCCATTTCCAGGGGCTTTTCCATAGAAATGGCCTGTCTCGGCTCATACTGTGGACTTTTTTTTTTTTTTAATCCTCACCCAAGGACATCTTCCCATTTTTTTACTGAGATAGAGTGGGAGGGAGAGAGAGGAAGAGAGAGAGAAACATCGATGGGAAAAGGACACATCTAATGGCCGCCACCCGCACAACCAACCAGGGCCGGGGATAAACTGCAACCGAGGCACGTGCCCTTAATGGGGACCAAACCCGGGTCGCTTTGGACCGCAGGCTGGCGCTCTAGCCACTGAGCAAAACCGGCCAGGGCTCATGCTGTGGACTTTAGTTTACTAAAGTCTTTCAAAGGTTCACAAACCCCAGACTAGCAGCATCCGGCCTCAGCATGCCCCATACCTCTTGCTAAGTGGCCCCAGGCTGGGCACTAACAGCAGCTGGCCTGGCTTCATAGCTTGGTTTCTCCCAGGCACCTCCAAGACCAGCACAAGAAGCATCCATCTGCAGATCACTCTATAACTCATGCTGGGTGGCCCTGGGCAGGGCATAGACAACAGCTGATCTTGGCCTGCATGTCCCAGGAGGCTCCAGAGCTAGTGCAGCTGGTGATCCTCTTCAGACCATGCTGGAGCACCACCGAACCACCTCTGCAAGTGACACACTGAAGGGGAGGACTCATTAGGCACCAGAACCCTGCTGAAGCGAGTCCTGCAGTGTGGGATTGGTCCCTGCACAGCAGTTCCTCTGCTGCAGTGTCCCAACCAGTCCTCACAGCCCATCAACTTGGGGATCAGTCCCTCCCCCTGATGTCCCAACAGCAGTCAAGGCTCAACTCTAATAGGAAGGTGTACACAGCCCACACAGGGCACACCTGGAGTGCCCAGCTTGGGTGACTGGGGAGGCTGTGCCACTGGGTCCTACAGGACACCTACTTCATAGGCTACTCTGCCAAGACTGGGAGATGTAGCAACTCTACCTCATACATAGAAACAAACAGGGAGGCAGCCAAAATGAGACAAAGAAACATGTCCCAAATGAAAGAACAGAACAAAAACTGAAAAAGAGCTTAAAGTGGAGACAAGCAGTCCACCAGATACAGAGTTCAAAACCCTGATTACAAGGATGTTTGATGAATTCAGGGGAAGAGTAGATGGACTTAGTGAGAACTTAAACAAAGACAGGAGACATACCAAGGAAGATAGAAAACATAAAAAAGAACCAGTCAGAAATGAAGAATACAATAACTAAAATGATACATTACAGGGAATCAGCAGTAGAGTAGATGAAGCCAAGAATCAAATCAGCAATGTGGACAGTGAGGAGGCAGAAAACACCCAATCAGAACAGCAAAAAGAAAAAGGAATAAAAAAAAATGAGGATAGTGTAAGAAGCTTCTGGGACAACTTCAGGCGTACCAACATTCTCATCATGGGGGTGGGGGTCCTGGAAGGAGAAGAGAAAGAGCAAAGAATTGAAAACCTATTTGAATAAAATGACAGAAAACTTCCCTAACCTGGTGAAGGAAACAGACATACAAGTCCGTGAAGCATAGAGAGTTCCAAACAAGATAAACCCTAAGAGGCCACACCAAGACACATCATAACTAAAATGCCACAGGTTAAAGACAAAGAGAAAATTCTAAAAGCAGCAAGAGATAAACAGTTACAAGGGAGCTCCCATAAGACTGTCAGCTGACTTCTCAACAGAAACTTTGCAGGCCAGAAGGAAGTGGCAAGAAATATTCAAAGTGATGAAAAGCAAGGACCTACAACCAAGATTACTCTATCCTGCAAAGCTTCCTAGACACGTAATAGCTAAAGTAATTCACCAACAACAACCAGTATTACAAGAAATGTTAAATATCTTTTTTAAGAAAAATGCCCTGGCCGGTTTGGCTCAGCGGTTAGAGCGTCGGCCTGTGGTCCGGAGAGACCCGGGTTCAGTTCCCGCTAAGGGCATGTACTTCGATTGCAGTTTGTCCCCGGCCCTGGATGGTCGTGCGGGTGGCAGCCACTCGATGTGTCCCTTCACGTCGATGTTTCTGTCTCTCTCTCCCTTCCTCTCTCTCCCTCCCACTCTATCTGTACAAAAAATGGAAAAATATCCTCGGGTGAGAATAAAAAAAATAAAAAAAGAAAGTGATAAAACTATGAATAATAAAATGGCAGTAAATACCTATCAATCAACAACTACTTTAAATGCATATTGATTAACTGCTCCAATCAAAAGACATAGGGTGGCTGAATGGTTAACAAAAGACCCTTACATATGCTGACTTCAAGAGACTGCTTCATACTGAAAGACACAGACTGATGTAAGGGTGTGGAAGAGACATTGCATGGAAAGAGAAACGAGGCTGTGATAGCAGTGCTTACAGCAGACGAAACAGGCTTTGAGATGAGACTATCATGAGAGGAAACAAAGGACCCAACACTTCCATGTCTGCGTATTTGTCGGAAGACACCCAGAACACTAACTCAAAAAGACATGCATCCGTAGGTCTATTGCAGCATTATTTACAATAGCCAAGATATGGAAGCAACCTGTGTGTCCATCAGTAGATGGACAAAGAAGACGTGGTGTACATGTACAGTGGAATAGGACTCAGCCACAAAAAAGGAGTGAAATCATCTCTTCTGCATGCCATGGGCAGACTTCCAGAGCGTTGTGCTGAGTGAGAGACAGGTGCCAGATGATTTCACTTCCACGCGGAATCTAAAAACAAAGCAAACAGGCCTAACAGGACTAGACTGACAGATACAGAGAAAGAACATTTCCACGGTTGCCAGTTGGGAGGGGATTGGTGCGGGGAAGGATGGAGGAAAAAAGATGAAGGGATTAGGAAGTACAGATTGGTAATTGCAGGATAGTCACGGGTATGTAAAGTACAGCATTGGAAACGGAGGTAATATTTATGTATGGTACCAGGTGGGTACTAGATTTATTGGGATGGTCACTTCATAAATTATATAAATGTCTAATCACTGGGTTGTTCACCTGAAACTAATATAATATTGTACATCCACTATAATTAGACATTGAAATTATTAAGAAGATCAGCTAGGTTTTTGTGTTGACATGGACAGACCTCAATAAATATATTGATTTTTAAAAAATCAACACACGCAGGATGTGTGGTGTGGCCTAGTGCACGTGTGTTTAAGCAGTCGTTTCCAAGACATCTGCGGGCCCGCCCACCAGCTGCTGGTGGAGGTTGTCTCGGTGGGGTGCATCACAAGGCTGGTTTTACAGCAGTCCTGGGTTCTCAGAAGAAGGGGTAGGTGAGTAGTGGGGACGGTGGGTCTGCTTCAGAATGAGGCGGGCCCAGCTCTCCCACAGCGTGCTTCGACTGCGGTCAGACCCACGTGGGGAGAGCCTCGCCAGTGCCCCGCATACGGAGGTCCTTCAGTTCCGAAAGATGTAGTATGTTGTATGGTTATTAGCTTTGAATTCCATTCAAGTTGTTTATGGAAACGTCATAAGTTTGTGGCAATAATAATCAGCTTAGGGAAGTTTTAAAGCTTCAGTCTGGCTCCAGAGGGCTTTAGAATGTAAAATGATGGGGTCCCCTTCTTCCTTCAGATATAATGAAATCCAAAAGCAACCCTGACTTCTTGAAAAAGGACAGATCCTGTGTCAGTCGGCAACTCAGAAACATCAGGTCCAAGGTGAGTGGGACCAGCCCCTGGGTGTGTGGGGCTCGCAGACACTGGGGAGAGGAGCGTGAGTCAGAGCCCATTACAGGCAGCAGTGGAGGGTCCCCAGGGCCCCAGAACTCGCCTGGCCCCACACACTTACTGTGCTGGGCCCGTTCTTCTGGTGGCTTCGAGCTTTATGTCTCCGTGCGGCAGTGGGACCCACTCCTACAGTGACTGTTGAAGGGCCAGGCTTGTGAGGAGCGGGGCTTGGAGTGAACTCCACCTCGGTCGCCTCCTGGCTCATCCCTTCTGTCTGTGTTTTTCCTTGCACACCCCTAATTTAATACTGATGCTGCTGCCTTGGAGAGAGGAAGCTGCCTGCACTCCTTCCCCTCAGCCTCGTAGTGGCAAGTCCCCAGCATCTGTCCCATGCCCCTGCGCCGAGGGAAGGACGGGCGGAGGGTGGGGAGTGGGGAGCATGTTGCCTTCAGGGTTTACTGTGTGTGTCTTATTGTTTGCTCTTTCCTCTGACAGTCCGTAATTGAGCAGGTCTCATGGGATAACTGAAACGAGCCCGCTTCCAGGTCCCTTGTCATGTAGGTAAACCACCTCTCACCATCCACCCACCTGCCACCCTCCAGAGAGTGCCACCTGCATGCACTGCTCACACCCCCACAGCAAGCGCCTGTTCTGTTGTGCCTGTCCTTCAGTCATGCTGCTCTGCCAGCACAGACACACTCCCAGGAGGCCCTTGAACCTGCTCGGGGCTCACTGGCACTGCGGCTTGTATGTGGGGCTCCTCCCAGCCTGGCGAGTGGCCCACAGAGCCAGCGTCATGGGCGCAGGCCCTGGTCAGCATGCATGTCAATGCTCTGCACACTCCACTTCTCTGGGGGAACCCCTCTTGGCCTCTGTCAAGAGGCAGACGTGACACACCCAGAAGCCATGACAAGCAGAGTGCCCCAGCTCAGCAGAGCCCCATCCATCTCACAGGCCAAGGCGGGCTGAGCTGGGGTGTGCGGGGAGCGATGTCATGGGTGTAGCTCGGGAGAACGGCTCAGTAAAGCAGGATGGCCACATGATTGGGGTGCTTTACGGGTACTGTTTTCAGCAAAGCAGAAGCTTTCACTGGGTGCCATTAAAGGCTACACAGGAAGGAGGTGGGAGACTGTGTTGTTCCATGCATAGACCTAACTTAGTGCTGACCGAGACAGTCAGTCTGCTAGAAATGACTGGGAGGGCACGGGGACCCGTCTGGACATCTGATCTTCACAGGAGGGCCGGCCGTCACGCCACAGGTCCCGCACTGGAGAGTGCTCACTGGCTCAGCTGGTCTGACCTCGGTAATCCCCTGGGAGGAGGGTAGGGACAGCAGGAAGAGCACTGGTCCTAGGCCAGCCCCTGTCAAGGGGACCCCAAGGGGTGGACAGCAGGTCTCTTGCTCACACCCCCTGAGCTTTCCTCCGGGTGAGGCTTGGCCTGAGCTGGGGTGGAGCAGGTCTGCTCTTGAAGAAGAGCTTTAGGAAATCCAAGTGTTTTACCCTTAGTTTGGTCTTGTTAATTTTTTCTGTTGTTGTTAGTCCTCACCTGAGGATATTTTTTTCTGTTGCTCTTCAGATAGAGTGGGAGGGAAGGAGAGGGGGAGAGATAGAGAGGGAGACATCGATTGGCTGCCTCTTGCACCCTCCCTGACTAGGCCTGGGATCGAACCTACAACCCAGGCACACGCCCTTAACTGGGAATCAAACCCACAACCCTTTGGTGCGGAGGCCGACGCCCTAAACACTGAGCCACACAGCCAGGGCCATTTTGTTGTTCTGCAGTCATAAGCCTCTGTGACCAAATACGGCTTAGGCTTAATTGGAAACTTAGTTTGGCCTATTTTGTTTAAACATGAAAAACATTGTTCAACAAAAAGAAAGCTTGTTCTTGGTTTATGGTTTTCACACTAAAGATGCTAGGCTTAGCTGTGGCTGCCAAGTCCCCGTGCTGTGAAGAATGGGGACAGAGGGTCTGCGAGGCCTTTCCGGGGGCCCTGCGTGGTGCTGCCCTGTTGGCCCAGCTGGAGCAGAGGCAGAACGAACCAAGGGACCTGGGGGGGCCCCAGAGCATTGACTGAGCCCACGTTTGGCCTGGCCACGCTTCCAGGGTGAGAAGAAACCGCTGGGTTGCAGGACTGGGCCTGCTGGTCCAAGGAGAAAGATGGGACCTCCTTGCACATGTCCTTGTGGGCGCCTCTGACGCCACAGGGCCGGACCTGGGCAGCAGTGTCGGCAGGTCTCCCACGGGGGATGACGTTCTTTTCCCTGATTGTTTTTGGAGACACCCCCACCTCCCATGGGAAGACGGTAATGAAGTCGTCTGGAAACTGAATCTGTTGTTGGCGCGTTTGATATGGGATCTGACATGTACGGACTTACACGTATACTCTGTTTCTACATCGACCCTCACGCAAGTGCAGACAGTCTCAGTGCCATAGAGTCAAAGCAAGCTTGTTGCTTTTCTGGATGGCAACCAGAGAAGAACGTTTCCCGAGAGCCCTCCTGGAAGCCCTGCCTGGTGGTGGCAGTGTGGGTCATCGAGGTGTTCATGGAGAGGCTGGCCCTGTGGGACGGAGGAGCTGCAGGGGGCTGCACCCCGAGGGACCTTCTCTGGGGCACAGGGTTGGGATGAGTGTGTTAACAGCTGGCGTGGGTGGCGGTGCATGGCCTTGGGCCTGCTGTAGCCTTGGGCTGCCCCCCAGCCCCTGCTCCCTTCCTTCCTGTCCCTAAGCACAGCAAGGACTGTCCACCTAGTGTCCGGGCACAGAGGGCACACATCCAGAGCAGGGAATGAATGCGCTGTCCCTTGTGTCTCAGGAGTGCAGTGCGTTGCTATCCCAAGGGACAGCCCCAGCCAGAACAGCAGGGAGCCAGGCAGTAGGCTCAGGGCAACCAACTGCCGGGCACACAGCAGCTCTGGACACGGAGCACTTAGGAGAAGAGGCTCGAGCATGTTAGGTGCATTAGGGGAAGTTCAGGTTTGCAGTGGGGTGTGGGCTTGTCCCCATCCTCCAGCCTGCTCAGTGGCAAGCTCCCAGAGTGCCCTAACCAGCTGCTCAGTGGCGGTCCGGCTATACCAGTGAGTCAGAAAGGGTAGCAGGCGCTACTGCACTTACTCATTACGTACACTGTTCCACAGTGTGTGTAGTGACAGCTTGTTCTGCGTGAAGTTGAGGGGGCAGCTGGGTCCCATAGATTCTCACAAATGCCGTCTCTGGAGCAGCAGGCTGCACTTCCGAGGCCCACGGGACCAGTGTGCTCGGTTGTGGCTGGAACCGGTGCGGTCATCTGGACCAGCGTCAGGGCCTGCCTGCAGTCTCGCGTCAGCTCTAGCACATGGAGCTGGGAGCCCGGCAGCTCTGAGTGTGAGGCTGAGATCTGTGTAAAGATCAGACAGCAGCTGAGGAGCCTGGCCCGGCCCTGTCAGTGTTGGAATTCCTCTTCTCATCCAGAAATGGAGTCTCTGGGGAAAGCCTCCAAGAGCCAAGTGTCACTCATATCAGGGCACACTGATGGGCACTCTCAGAGCCCCACAAGAGGAAGGTTGGTTTCACAGTTTGCAAATCTTAGATATATTGAGTGTTCCCAGATCCCCATACAGTAAACTCAGCAAGTTCCTCGTTGGGGAGGCTGACGAGGGTCAGGGGCCGCAGGTGCTCCTCGGAGCAGCAGGGAGGTGGTCTCCGGCCCTCACTCTGCCAGCGGCGTGCCAGGAGCCCTGATCGTAAGGGAGCCAGGCACAGACGGGTCACAGTCGGGAGGAGGGTGTAAGTGGGTGGGTTCCTAGTTCTTGGCACAGTCTTCTCTTCCTGGCTGAGTTGGTCTGATCGCTGCTTGTCTAAAGAGCCCTAAGCTCAGAATTCAGCTTCTTACACTCACAGACTTGTTTTTCTGATGTTTTTTCCTTTTTCATCAGATAACACCATTTCACAGGAGACGACTCTCCTTAGCATGCCCCACTAACCGTGAGGAGCCCTCCCCACCCCTGCCCCCGCTCCTTGCCTCTGACTATACCTTGTGCCACCCGGGCTCCTGACTAAGTGCTTTTCCTGCTCTCCCCAGAGTCTGAAGGAAGGCCTGACGGTGCAGGAACGCTTGAAGCTCTTTGAACCCAGGGACTTGAAGAGAGACTGACTCCCGCTCAGTGTGAGCACATGCCCTTCCCAGCTGGTGGCTGCACAGCCGAGCGCTCCTTTTCGTCTGTACCTTTGTTTTATTATTGTTGTTGTTGTCATTATTAACTCTGGGTGTGGACGCATGAGAGAGGTTTATGGGTTGTTCACACCATCCCCTGCTGTGTTGATTCTGACTTCCTGTTGTCTTTATCCAATTTTTTTCCATGGTATTCTAAAATAAGCCAAGCCATGGGGCTGAGGGCCGTCTGCTTCAGCGGGGTCTGTGTTGGAATCCCTTCCCACCGCGTCCCCTCACGCACTCGCTGTCAGTATTAAGGCCCAGCAGCCTGTCAATAAGCTAGCTCTGTCCTGCCGGGCACGCTGGGCGGAACCGGGTCCAGGTGGCTGTAAGTCTGCTGCGCGAGGTCCAGCCCCTGGGAGGTGGCTTTGCCTGGACCACACCACTGACAACACACTACCCTGCAGGAGAAGCCGGGGGGGGGGGGGGGGCGCGCGCCAAGGGCATGGCCCGTCGCCGTGACCCCCACTTTTAGCTCGGGAGAAGGCCAGCATCTGTGTGTTCCGTCAGCGCAGCCTAGAACCACACCCAACAGTTGTGGTGAACTTTCACAGCCTTGAAAATGTCAAAACAGCCTTTCCTATTTTTGTTTGTTTTTATTAAATCTGGCACAAAACTCCACCCTCTCATTCCTTCCTCCGCTCGCTCCTTTCTGGGTCACCAACAACCCTGACTTTCCATAGCTCCTTGGCTTCTTGGCCGGCGACCTGGGGTTTCAGACTGTAGTTGCAAATAGTGACGAAGTCCCTCGGGGAATTACTCAAGGGGTAGAGGCTTTGCTTTTGTCACCTGTCTGAAAGAAGCCTAAGTCAAGAAGAAAGTGCAGAGGATGTCAAAATCAGACGGAAGTAGCCCATTATTTTGCGTTCTGAACTTTAAATTAATCTGAGATCTGAAGAGTTCTTAGTGTTTAGAGAACCTAACGTACACCTATGCTGATAATTCTGCTTTAACAGGTTTAGTAAGATATTTCTGCCACAGAGCACTCCACAGCACTTCCTGAGAAGATCTCAGGTTAGGTCTGTTGTGGCCCCAAGACCTCTGTTCATCCCAGATGAGGAGCGCAGGCAAACCCAGTGGGTCAGCTGTGCTTAGAGCCGGGGGCGCTCGAGGGGACGTGTGGGGAGTCGCTCTGGTCATGCTGCAATGTCTCACTCTGATTGCTGGAGTCAGTCTGACAGTCTCTGGGAACACAGAGACGGGGGGGTGCGGTAAACACGTAGCAATCACCTTGCTCAGCATCTACATTTAATCAGTGAACACGGTCGCTGAGACAGGCCAGACCGAGGCCCCACGTGCTGTCATCTCACTGGGACAGACTCAGCTCCGCTACGAGCCTGTCCGGCTCCTGAGTCCTGAGAGTCTTACCCCACTTGCGTCACCCCCTTGTTCCTCCTCTTCCACGTGTTTAAAAGCAAGAGAAAGTTAGTTCTGCTCCTCACTGTCCATATCAGATGCCCCTTGACACGTAGATGGGCAGCGTCTGTCTGATGGACCGTGTTGTTTTGTGCACAGGAATGTGGGGGCCCTGTGGTCCATGCTGTCTCCAGAACAGTGTGCGCACACGTCCAGGGCAGGACGATGTGATCTTCAGCAGGCATGGCAGATGGGCCTGTCCCCTGGTCTCGGAGGGCTTCCTCCTCAGGCACAGTTTCCTGCATGATTGCCCTGCTGCCTCTGGGGACTCTTCTCGGGCAGCCTGCCTCCAGCCCCTGAGGTTTCTGGGCGGGCCGCGCAGGAGTCACACTCCCCTCTGTCCTGAGGCTGCCATGAGGGTCTGGACTCGCAGGGCTTTGAACAGGTCAGAGCGCATGTCTTCCACTCCCTGTCCCTGGAGGCTAGGGCTCAGGAATCCTGGGGAACACAGGTTGAGTGCAGCGTTTGGGGCTTGAGGCAGAGACTGGGGAGGACCTCTTGTCACAGTGGCCTCTGTAACAGACCCTCCTGATGCTCACTCCACAGACTGGGAGTCGCTTTCTGGGGCTTGTGCAGTCTGCGGGTGACCAGAAAAGTGACTGGGAATGCTAAGATGAGTGAGAAACGGGGGCACCCTGGGTCCTCTAACACCAGCTTGGTCCTGCTGCAGCCTCCCAGAGTGTGCTGGCTGCGTGTCCTTCCACAGTGACACCCCCTGCCAGGCTTCCTGCTGCTCAGTCTGTTCTCCACCTGGAGAGAGCAAGCAGGACAGAACGGGGTTTTCATGCACAGCCTGCGTGTCCCCTCATGTCCTGCACAGCCTCCGCTACACCCTGTCCTCCGTGGGTTCCCTGCAGGGAAGAGTTTAGCCACCTAACCACCGCCTGAGAAAAGAAACTACCACCATGTGGAAGCTGTTGGTTCCTTTGTTGTTAGAGAAAGGTCCCCGGGCTGAGCCCTGCAGGGCCATGAGCACAGGCTGCAGTGTGCGCACCCGCCTTCCGGGGGAGTGCTCCCGGACGGGCTCCTCGCAGTGGGCATCCCGTGCCCAGCACTGCTCCTTGTGCTCTGCGAGCGCCCATGGATATGCTGTGGTGACCTTGTCGACGGAGAGGACAGTGCGCTGGTCTGGGTCTCGGAGCGCGCACAGCCAGCGTGCAGGCGGACGCAGCACCCCGCCGTAGCTCCTGGTGACCAGGCTGTGTGCGGCCCCTGGCACAGGGTGACAAAAGGGCACTCTGCCGCTAGGGGGGAAGCTTGTGCGAGAAGGTGTCGGAGTCAGTTTGTGGGAGGAAGCCACGGCCATCCTGGAGTGATGGGTGGAGGCTTGGTGGGGATGTGCGGGTTGTCCAGAACCGAGACAGGTGCACACAGGGACGTGGAACTGGTCGTGCCACAGCATCCTGACCCAGCTGCACGCTGACCCAAAGCTGGGCCTCGGGCCTTGAACAGGTCAGCTCAGGAAGAGGGGCCTGCGGTTTCTAAGACAGCCGTGAGTCTCGGAGTCTGCCTGAGAGAAGTTCAGACACGCAAGGCCTAGAAACAAGACTGATGGCCAAGAGCACACACTACAGAGACGTGTTTATGCCATTTATTCCCCACAAAGGCAGATGGAAGGAACACACCTTTCCAGCCTGGGAGGGGAACAGGTCCTTTTCCTCACTGCTGCAGTGGTCCCTTCAGCAAGTCTTTATAAACTCGCCCTGCGGGTGAAGCGGCCTGGTGCCAGCCCTCCCTGCAGGGCCGGAGGCCGAGCGCAGCCCTGTGACCTCTTTGCTGCAGGTGCAGCCCCGCCAGCCTTAGCCCGTGAGCACTGCGGCAGCCCAGCTGCCCTCTCCAGGGACCAGCTGCCTTTCTCCCGAAGAGGTTTCCTTCCTCCCGCATTTCTTGTCACTCCCCTGCTTCCTGAGGCCCAGGTCCCTTTGCCTACGCAGCTTCCAGCAGGGCCTGTGGCCTGATGTGAGGGTGGGGTGGGGGAGGCTTCCCACTCCCAGCCCCTGCAGTGTCTTCATGGACCCACACTGCCCGCCCCCACCCCCGCCGTCTGTGTGAGGCTCTTCAGTGCAGAGCTGTCTTCAGTCAACACTCGTTTCTCCTGAAAATAAAAGTGGGTTCATCATCGTCCTAAGGAGGCTTGGAACTTCACATTTTCCTTTAAGACAATTAAAAACAAAACAAAACACAGGTTCAGTGACACCCCCACCCCCACCATCGAAAACAAGAGGGGGAAATTTGATATTTTGAAAGTTTTACAAAGGACCAGGAAGTACATAGCATTATACTTAAAAGGATTAAATGCTAAAAAACAAAATTTGGCGCGTGAACCGGGAGCTTTGCCTCACTGAAAAGGTCCATCATCAGAACATCTCTGCCTGGAAACCCGGGGCGCTGTGCTGTGCTGCCCCTCCGCACTGAGCGGACGGTGCTGGTGCCCGTGCGGCCTCCACGGGCCCTCTGAAAGGACTTGCTGGACACGTGCTGCTTCTGAAGACACCTCATTCCCATCGTTCAGGGAGGGGGCTGGTCACAGGCCGGGCAGCTAAAGCATCCCTTTCTTGGTCTGTGCAGACGGAGGACTCGCCAGTCGGTTTTCCTCCAGCATCACACTTATAGATTCACCATCTGCACGCTCCCCTTTGCTGGCTCTCCCGTGCCTCCAAGTCCCCACAGGTCTGAGCTCAGGAAAGGTCTTTTATTCACTGAAGGTCAGGTCTAAATGTCAAGCCCTCCGCTGTTCTCGACACCGAGCCGTGGACACAGTGGGACACTTGCTCCCTCCGCAGCCAGCCAAGTGCACTGGGCCTCACTGCCCTCGGGGACGGTCTGCTTCCCCCAGCAGTGCTGTGCGTTCTCGCACGCTCCAGTGCTCTGGGCAGCTCCTCCTGTACAGCTGAACCTAGACAAGGGTCCGCCTGAAGGGGGTCTGGTAAAACCACTTGTTTTGGGTCCTTTCATAGGGAACTTGACATAAACTCAATATGGAAACACACACTGTCGATCTCTCTCAAGTTCTGTCTGCTGGAAAAGACCCAGCTGCACTTGGCCTTGTGAGAACAACTGCTTCAGGTATTCTTGTTCCTCTGTAAAGGGCAGAGGCCCACTTCTCCGAGGTCTTTCCACAAGAGACTCACAAAGCAGGAATCGAAGCCCACACGAGACCTTCCCGGTGTGGCAGTGACGAGCCACTTGGACACATGGCGGGTCCCTTTCCTCTAGGCGTCCACAGGACTGACAGCTGAAGCCGCACTGCTGTGGGGCTCAGGTTTCTCTATACTTGTCTTGTTCAGAGCGAGCAGTGTGAATATGACTCAAGTTATGTGGGGTTTTTGACCGAGCTTGTGGGCTAATCGTAATCAGACATCCCTTTTTAAGACGGAGAACGAGCAGCTTTGGGTGCAGCCCTGAACCCTACCTAACGTGAAAAGGGAATGCTTTTAATGACTTCCTAAAAGCTTTGGTCATTGAACGGGCAGTTTAAAAAGCCTATAAACAGTATCTACAGTAACAAGAACCCTGCACCCAGATACTGCTTTTCATTGAGAAAAGTCTGGAATACTTGTTCTTGGTAGAGCTGTTTGAAATCCTGGAGGAAAACCAAGAGAATCAAGGATGTGGTAGTTACATCCTGACCAGATTCTTTCATATAGTGATTTAAGACTGGTAAGGGGCCAGTTTGGGCATCGGGGTCACACGCTGGGCAGGCTGCATGAGGGCCCGGCCGTGTCTGGTTCCTGGCTCCTGGGCTGTGACGGTGTGAGGCGGCAGGTGCGTGGCGCGCTCACTATACCGCACACGTCTCATTAGAGGGGCGCGGGAGCAGCCAGGCCAAGTACCGAAGAACTGGGCGGGCCAGCACAGGAGGGGTGGCCGTCGGGTAGAGCTCGGTGTCGGGGGCTCCCACGTGCAGTCAGGCAGAGAGGGCTCATCGGGTGGTCGCCCACCTGCCGCCTCACATTCCCACCCCCCTTGCTTCCCCTTCACAACCAGTGATATCACGTTCTGTTCTGTTTCATAGAAAGCTAGAAATAGAGTAAGAACACTAAGTTATTGTGTTATGTTTATGTCATAAAACTTCCATTAAAATGGATTTTAGGATTTACCTTTAGTATTTACAACATATCTACTGACTTATTGTTAGGATTCAAACCAGTTAAGTGATAATTCATTCATGTGCTTTTCCTAAGTAATATTTATAAAATGTAAAGTTTCTAAATGGTTCCTCAACAATTATAATCAGTGACTTTTCTATCAGGGTGAATGTCTCAGTTCAGCTACTAAAGACAAAAACCTACTAAGCCAACTGCTGGGAGACGAACCACGTGAACACGGATGCATGTTCTCTGCTTGAGGAATTTGGGAATGAGTCACGGCAGTCACTCCTGCCACTGCCAATTATTTCCACAGTCAGGGTGACACGTGTTCAATTTTAACTGGGTTTTAATTTCTGTACTAATGCTAAAGGACAGTGTTCACCAGACTGAACGCCACGCAGAAGAATGCAGAGGCCTCAAGCCAGGTGACTCCTTAGCACGGGGAGGACCCAGCAGAGGCCCGGGGTGTCGTCTGTCAGGCTGCAGGGTCCTCCTGACAGAAGAGCCTGGGCAGGGAACCTGTCTGTTTTGACAAGTCACAATTTTATGGTTTAGTTTGAGGCTTTTTTTTTTTTTTTTTAAGTTTCTGATCAACTGTTCACTACAACTGAAGTATTACTTTGTCAAAATATTTATTCCTTTGTGTGACATGCTAGATTCCTATGGATGTGGCTGATCGTTTCTATTTTGTATATACTACCTAACTTTACATAAACTATATCATAATAAACTATTTTTGCATCACCCTTTGCACGCTGTGAATGAGGTTTTGTTTCATGGAGACACATATGCAAAATATGCTTTTAGGTCCAAAGTCAGAAACTTGCTGTATCTCTTCAACACTAATGGAAGATTCTCACCAGAACAATTAAGCAAGAAAAGAGGAAGGCATCCATATGGAATAAGTAAAACTGTATTTGCAGATGACTGATACTGTATATGGGAAATCCTAAGGAATCCACCCCAAAAAATCTATTAAATAAATGAGTTCAACAAGTTTACAGGATATGAGATTCATACACAAAAATTAGTTTATTTCTATATACTAGTAATGAACAAACTGAAATTAAAGCAATTCCATTTGTAACATCAACAAGATTTTTTTAAGTGTAAGACTTGTACACTGAAGACTACAAAACATTAAAGAAATTCAAGATTTAATCCCATGTTCAGGGATTGGGAGACAAAATTACTGTCAGAATGGCAATACTTCTACCTTGATCTACCGACTCAACACAATCCCTATCAAAATTCCAGCTGCTTTTGCAGAAGTTGATCAGCTGATGGAAAGGAACAAAGAGGACTCATGCTACTGGGTTTCAAAACTACCACACAGCTTCAGTAATCTAGACAGTGCATCTGGATTGACACAGATCACTGAAACAGAATGGAGAATCCAGAAATAAGCCCTTACATTTAGGATTAATTGATTTTCAGCAACGGTGTTAAGACCATTCAGTGGGGAAAGAATAATTTTTTACTGGGACAGCTAGCTACCCACATGCAAAACAGTCAAGTTGAACCCCCAGCTCACACCACACACAAAAACTAACTCAAAATTGATCTAAATATAAGCACTAAAAGGACTCTTGGGAGAAAAAATAGATCTTTGTGGCCTTGGTTTGGGCAATGGTTTCTTAGATACGGCACCAAAGCACGAGCAGCCAAAGTAAAAACAGATAAATTGAATTATAACGAAGTTAATAACATGCTACGGGGATCACAATAATGGCTCTCAGGTTATACTATGAAGCCACTATAATCAAAGCAGCCTGGTACTGCCACAAGAACAGGCATATAGATCAATGGAACGACACAGAGCCCAGAAACCAACCCACACCTTTAAGGTCAATTAATATTCAACAAAGGAAGCAAGAGCATACAAAAAAATATAAACGATCTCTTCATTGGACAGGTACAGTTGTCCCTCGCCACTCCGCACTTTGACTTTTGCGGCTTCACTCTCGTGGTTTTTTCAAACATATTCATTAAAAAGTTGATCGAGACAGTGAAAATGATACAGCACGCGCTTGGTTGTCTGAGTCAATTATACACCCCTGTATTACAATTACAATTACTGTATGTATGGACTGTAGGCCTATGTATTCGAGCACCCCCCCCCCCAAATCCTTCAACACCAGGTGCGACCACTAGTCTGGAATGGATTTACTGCGATAAACGAGGGACAACTGTATGTATATTTAAAAAATGCAACTAGACCACCAATTTACACCTTACACAAGAATAAACTCAAAATGGATAAAAGACTTAAATGTAAATCACAAAACCATAAAAATCCTAGAAGAAAACATAGGCAGTACAATCTCAGACATCTCTCAAAGCAAGAGTTTTGCTGATATGTCTGTGAGGGCAAGGAAAACACAGGAAAAGAAAAACAAATGGGACTATATCAAACTAAAAAGCTGCACAGCAAAAGAAACGAACAAAATGAGCCCTGGCCAGTTTGGCTCAGCAGTTAGAGTGTCAGCCTGCGGTCCAAAGAGACCAGGGTTTGGTTCCTGCTAAGGACATGTATCTCAGTTGCAGTTTGTCCCCGGCCCTGGTTGGTTGTGCGGGTGGCAGCCACTCAATGTGTCCCTTTCACATCGATGTTTCTCTCTCTCTCTCTCTCTCTCTCTCTCTCTCTCTCTCTCCCTCTCCCCCCCCCCCCCCTACCTACCACTCAATCTGAACAAAAAATGGAAAGGTGTCCTCGGGTAAGGATAAAAAAAAAAATTTTGTTTTAAATCAACAAAATGAAAAGGGAATCCACTGTATGGGAGAATATATTCGCCAGTGATTCATCTGATAAGGGTTTAATCTCCAAAATATATAAATATATAAAGAATTCATACACCAGGAAGACAATCCAATTTAAAAAATGGGCAAAGGACCTGAATACACAATTCTCCAAACGGGACATACAAATGGCCAATAGACATAGGGAAAAAAATGCTCAACATCACTAATAATCAGCGACATGCAAATAAAAACTACAGTGAGGTAGCACCTCATACCTGTCAATGGCTGCCATCAACAAACAAGTACTGGTGAGGATGTGGAGAAAAGGGGACTTTAGTACAGTGCTGGTGGGAATGCAGACTGGGGTAGCCACTATGAAAAACAGTATAGAGTGTCCTCAAAAAACAAAAAATGGAACTGACTTTTGACCCAGTGATTCTACTTCTGGGTCCTAAGAATCCCAAAACAGTAGTCAGAAAGACTATATACACCCATATGTTCATAGCAGCACTATTTATAATAGTTAAGATCTGGAAACAGCCCAAGTGCCCATAAGTAGATAAATGGGTAGAAAAGCTGTGGTGCATTCACACAATGGAATACTATGCAGCTGTGAAAAAAAAAAAAAAGATCTCTCTAGCCCTGGCCGGTTTGGCTCAGAGGTTAGAGCATCAGCCCTCAGACTGAAGGGTTGCAGGTTTGATACCTGGCCCTAGCTGGGGTTGTGCAGGAGGCAACCAACTGATGTGTCTCTCTCACATTGATGTTTCTCCTTCCCTCCCTCTCTTCCACTCTAAAAAATCAATGGAAAACATCCTCAGTTGAAGATTAACAATTAACAACAACAAAAAGATAAGGGTCTCTTACCCTTTGCAACAGCATGGATGGACCTGGAGATTATAGTGCTAAGTGAAATAAGCCAGTCAGAGAAAGACAAATATCACATGATCTCATTACTATGTGGGATCTAATGAACAAAATTAACTGACAGGTCGAAACCAGAGGCACAGAAACACAGTACTAACTGACAAATGAGGGGGGATGGGGGGAGACTGGAGGAGGGAAGGTGAAGGGATTAGCCTAATAACATATATGCATAGCCCATGGACACAGACAGTCACATGGTGAGGGCAGGGCTGGTTGGAAGTGGGCATCTGCAATAGTGTCAACAACAAAAAATTAAGAACAATAACATGCTGCAAACAAAAAGTGAAAAGACTGCCCAAATAATGGAGAAAAGACTTGCAAATCATATTTCTGATAATGGACTTGTGTCTAGAATATAGAGACCTCTTGTAATCAACAATAAAAAGGCAACCCAATGGAAAAATGGGCAAAGGACATGAATAGACATTTCTCCAAGGACAATATATAAATGACCAGTAAGTACATGAAAAGATGCTCAGTATCATTAGTTATCAGGAGAATGCAAGTCAAAAGCACAATGGGACACCACCTCGCAGGCTGGCTATAAATAGAAGTCAGATAACGTCTTGTTGGTGAGGGTATGGGGACAAGAACCCTCATGGTGCCGACGGGAATGAAAATGGCAGTCACCGGAACACAGGTGGGCCATGTCTCAATGCAGTTGAACAGTTTTGTGCCCCAGCAGTTCAAAGGCATTCACTCAAGAGAATTGAAAACCTGTCCACACAAATGGGAATGTTTATACCATTATCTGTAATAGCAGAAAGGTGGAAACAACTCGTTTGTCAGCTGATGGGCGGGTCAACAGAATGCTGTCGGTCCACACCACTGGGTATCACTCAGCCATAAAAAGGGAAACACTGACATTACAACATGAATGGCCTGGACACATGGTAAGTGAAAGGAGGCAGATACAGATGCCACGCGTTGGAGTCTGGGTGTGAAATCAGCAGCAGGTACATCCAGAGACGGGAAGCAGATGGGTGGTTACCAGTAGCTGGGGCTGGAGGGAATGGAGTGACCCCTAATGAAAGTTTCTCTCCGGGATGATGAAAATGTTCTGGATCAGATAGCGGGGATGGTTGTACAACTCTGTTAATATACTAAACACCACTGAATTGCATACTTCGGAAGGGTGAGTTTTATGGTATAGGAATCTCGATGTGTCATAAAATAATCCGTTGCTTTAAAAACCAATTCAATAGAAACTATAGTGCTTTAAATACAATGTGGTTGTGTGGGTTCCTTCAGACACTTGCCGTGACAATTGGTGGCAGACTGTTAAGGCCCAGTAGTGCCACCATGACCATTATTCGTTTTAAATCGCAAGAGTTTAAAGTACGTTAAACTTATTGTGCTGACATGTGATCCCCTGCACAACAGGTCTGTGCGGATGCTGTGTCACTGCCCCAGTTTAAGTGACAGCCCTGAGCAGAAGCTAGGAGGCTGAGTCTGTGGGTTGGGGTTGGGTCCCTGACTCCTTTCAATAAGTGACTGGGCAGCTCTTGGGGACATGACTACTACTTTTCCAGTTTCTCCAAGGGCAGCCAAGGCAGAACCTTGGAGGCAAAGAGCAGCTGCAGAGCACATACCACACAGGTCCTCCCCCAGCCTTCCTGTCCTGCTCAGGCCATGCCCAAGGGGTGTCCCACAGGGGTCTCCAGTGTGACTGCCCACCACTGGACTAGCCCCCAAGTAATGCTGCTCAGTGTAGCCACTTAGCCCAAAGCATCTTCTGCATCAACTAAAGATCCACTACCTGGTTAATTGGCTTTCATGGACCCTGAAACCTGATGTGAACTCCACCGGCTCAATGGGCAGACCAGACGTGCCCATCAGCTCCAATGCCCCGTGCTGGCCTGGCGACTCCTGGTCACACCTGTCCTGTCAGAGCAAGGTGCGGCCAATGCGAAGGTCAAGGGCTCCAGCAGTTTTGTGCAAACACCTCACCTAAGTGGACACACAGCAGCCTGCAGCTTGGAGGTGGATTTCAGTGCTGCCCATCCTCAGCCCACGGCCCTCCAGGAAGTGTTTTAATTGCAAGTTGTTTCAGAAAGGTTAACAATCATCTAAAACTCCCCACATTACAAAGATGTTGGGACAGCGAGCCA